AGCAATATTTAGGTTCAATTTCTATTATTAATGCATCAGGATAATTTCAGGTCGTCTTTCATGCTTTTTTTTTAAACTGACTTAATTCATGAAACAAACTTCAGCAGAAAGTGGCTCCCTATCAGTGCACATTCATCAAAGTAGTTGTGGAGAAAAAAAACAACCTGTTTAAGTTTAGAACAAAGGATGCGTGAAAACAGCTTTGCCATCAGCAATTTGCAGCTAGACTGAATTAGAGAAGAGAGAAAACTTTTGAATAAATGTGAAGCTTTTTATGTTGTGTCCCCTGGTAGATGAAGTATTTTCTTTATTTTCAGCTCTTTAAATTTAAAGAAAAGTGGAAAAAAAAACACTCAGAACTGTTTAGTCTTTCAATTTTGTATAAGCAAAAAATGCTTGTTAATATTGGCGTAACATAATATTCTTTGGTCATCTATGCCTTGAGCAGTTGTTAAATATGTATGTAAGGAGCAGAGGCAATGTGACTCCACATTGTGGGAGAGCAGTTGGTGTTGCTGTTTTATTTTAAAACAAGGACAACTGGCTCTAGTATATGACATTGCTGATTAGCGCATTTAGCACTGTATGCTTGGTTAGAGTGGTTAGTTGTGGCTACCATGGAAAAAAAACTATTTCTTGTCCTTCTTGCATTTCATTGACAGTGGGAGATAAATATAGCTCCTGCATCATCTTACTAACCATTTGCACCAACTACTTCAAGCTGCAAGAGTTTTTTATTTTTTCTGCTTCCTTGAACAAAACTTCACAATTGCAGCAAAGATAACAACATTACATAATGTCTCGCAATATTGTGCAAACACTCTGTTTGTGCTGAGGAAGGTTCACTCACTTTGGGATTCACAAAAATGAAAGTGAAACTGATGACATGGCCTACTTTTTGATTAATTCAGCAAATAATTATCGGAGTTCTTGAAACTGAATTTACTGGTGCTCAGTTGACAATATATGGGAAAATACAACAAGACAGTTATGTCACAGCAAAATTATTGAACCACGTTCTGACACAACCATACACTGTGAATTGAACTTAAATCAGGAGTTCATCAAAACACACATACCAAAATTTTATGTTTCACCAAATCTGCCTCCCTTCCTCACATATCGACCCATAAAACTATTTGATATGTCAACATACATTGACAAGATAGGAAAAAGGAAGGCAGTTTAAGATTTACGATATATATCTAATTCTATATGTGCTGTGGCAGATGTTTAAGGCTCAAAGGGAGAAAATAAAGCAACATTATGCTGTTTTTGATTCGACTTTTCTATTTTCTGATGAACGTCTTATTCTGTTGCAAACTGAACAAACTACAGACACATCTCCACATGTTTTACCATAAATGACTTTATTTTCTAAACCTCACTAATACTGAGAATAGCTATGTTTGGGTATCAGTCAAGTCAAGTCATTTCAGCAGCAAAGCACTTATAATAATGTCACAAAGTCACCTAAACAAACAGTAAGCATCACATTTCCTCAGATGCACTATCTGAATAATCAAGACACACCAAATGTATTGATCAGTGTCCGATTTTCTACTTAAGTGACTTTCAGAATCGTTTAAAGATGGTAGGCAAAGTCAATCTTCTGTCACCTGAATAGCATATCCAGGATTAAAGAACTAACGTCCCAGCAAGATCTAGAAAAACTCACATGATACATGTGTTTATCTTTTGCCTGTTGATTTTTTTGATTCTCCATGTTTGGTTCTGGTACTGCAGATCAGTCTCTATTGCAACTTGGTGGTGCTTAGCTTGGTGCTGTCACTGATCAGAAAAAGAACAGACATTTAAATTTACAACAGGATGGTTATCCATCAGGGTTAATCCAATGAAAAAAATGCCCAGTTCCAGCCAGACTGTTTCTTATGGTATATCTTGTTAAAATAAATAAAACTGTTCAAAAATAAAACATTTAAAATACATCAGATCAACATAAAAAGATTTAGATAGCCGTGGTCCGGGATCTACACTGACATGAAATGTATAGTTTCCGGCTTTTATTACAAATTCAATTCCAATTTTCAGTATGTCTAGATTAAAGAAGAAAGCCTCCAGCCAGAGCAGTGTTTCAAACACAAGTGCCTGTTCTGGTAACCTTCCCCATGACATTACCTTTCGCTGTTCGATCTCAGACTAAGTGACCTTTTCTGACCAAATCTTTTTCTTGCATCTATCTGATTATAGGAAACAGGATGGGGCTGACCCCCGAATTTCTGCACCAATAGAGCCTCAGCTTTTGCAGCCTGAACTGACACACAGCACCTCACCTCTTCACAAGGTAGGGAGAGGTTATCCGGGGGCATTAAGTCTGAACCGTGACCCCCTGACCTTATCTGTGTGACCCCCCTCTGTGTGTGATCCTTTGTTATTATCAGTCTCTTATGTTCTTTTGTCTGATGTCCTTTTTAATCCTACATTCTTTTGTATAACTTGTGTAATTAAAGCACACAAAGCTCTGTGGCTGCAATTATTATGTTGACTGACTCAATTAAAAAAGGTCTATTTTTAGCAGGAAATAGTCAGCCTCACGCTGACAAATCTTCGCTCTAAGCTGAACAAGCATGATTCCATCAAAGCCCACAAGTCACAGCCCATAACAGGACTTGTCTTTTTTTCTTTTCAAAAGACATCGTCACCCATAACATCATCAGTCATGTGCGACTAAAATAGATCGCAGCTGAGGCGGATTCACTTTAGAGTTTCACTGATTGTCAGTCCTAAAAATATAACACAGGGCCGGATGTATTTGTTGGCACCGCTTGCAATGATGGACAGAAGCCTAAAAATTGATTTGGCTTTCGTTTCAGAAAATTTCACAAAAATCACAAAAAATGTTCAGACATTTTTGTGTATCCACTCAAGATATTATTAAGTCCAGAGTTGAGTCTGTAACAGTTACATTTCTGACTGCAGAGGATTTATATTTATTTAGGAGAATCAGCATAATTTTGGAACAAATCAGGAAAAATGTATTCATTTTCACCTTCACAGCTTCAAGCAAATCCACCAAACCGCTGAAACCTTCAGGCCTATCTTTCCACACTGAATAAATTAGATGTGGATAGAAAAACCTGCCAGTGGTATTTTGTGAAAATAAAAGTTAGATAGAGCTACATTGTGTTGGTGATCATAAGCGGATAACATCTCAGTTATGTCAGATTGGTTTTCTAAAGGATTTTCACACTATCCAACATTTCTCACAACCTGACTTAATCTGTGCGTAGCAGGGGGAGTGGGGAGAAAAAAGGATTAGGAAAATCGAAACTGGGTTGTTGAGCAGTCACTCTTGATCCCTGCAGCACGCTGAAGGTATCTCACACCTGCTAGTTTCATTATGCAACTAGGAAGGATATTTGAAACCTTGCAGGTTTTTGACAGCAAAACAGTAGAGAATATGGTTTAAATTAATTTATTTATAAATTACCTCAGTTTTTTGAGAAAATTAAAGGACAGCATAGGAATGTGGAATACACATCAACTTAATAGGGCAAGACTCAGAGGGATTGTATCGATATAATCAGAGCCCTGCAATAAAAAACAGGTCAATCTGCAATTAACCCCACCAGGTCTTACATATTCAAACTATTGCTATACTTGTACATTTTCATGAAGACAAACAAAGCCATCTACCTTCTTTATTTTATGTCAAAAGCTTTGAATATTTTGAAAATAATTAGCTGTTTTACATAGACTTTAGTTGTTAACCTCTGCTTTGCATTTTGAGGACGTTTCATGATTCAACCTTCCTTCATTCAACCATCTATATCAGATGTTATTTAAGCAAATTGTAGTAGTTCCACCAAATATATTTTGCTTCAAAGAAAACTATTTCAGCTGGATCTGCTCCGGGAAAAGTCCTAATGAGCTCTGCAGTGAGGCTGCAGAGTTGTAGCTGAAACATCAGGAGGGTAGATGTGGCGTTGCGCGTTTAATCTGTGCGTTGTCATAATGACGATCTTATTAGCTCTCATAATGAAAGGTTTCAGCTCTCACACCTGCTGTCTCTGCTAGTCTGACTCCCCAGAGATCATCCTCCACTTCCTCCACTGTGTCCATCACTGCAAAATAACGCATGCATGCCGACTCCTTGCTATTCAGAGAGTTTATACATACAGTGCCTTGCAAAAGTATTCACACCCACACATTTTTGTCATATTTATTTTTATTTATTTATCTATTTCAAACAGATTTTTAAAAATTAAGACAAGTAGCCAATAAGACAAGAGAAATATGCCTTACATAACCAAGAACAAAAATGATTTACTTATCACTGCTTTTCTGTTTAAAAAGGAGTTGGAAGAAGTTATTTATTTATCTCAATTTCATGAAATGCTTCACTTCCCGACTCAATAATTAACAGAAATTTGTATATTGAAAACAAGTTATGGTATTCATTTGCCTGTTCGATTTACTGTGCTAAAGAACCTACAAATAAGCTATATTACATAAAAGAGAATATTTACAAACTGACTCATAAAAGTAGTAATAATGACAATTAACAGACATAATCATTAACAGAAAATTACCAACTCTTTGCCAATGTACACCATAAAATATACTTCGTAATCTGAGTTTTTGAACAAACAAAATAAAGTAAAATAAACTAATCATGACAATAATGAAAATAAAATGATATATATTTATATATTTCTCTCTATATATAATTATGATAGTACATATTATAATTACAGTGATCTTTTTTTTTATTTCATACAAAAAATTGTGGCATGCTGATTTATTCTACCATTTTTACTCTGATACCCCTAATTAAAATCCAGTATGACCAACCGACTTTTGGAGTCACTAAGTCAGTATAAAGCGTCCTGCTGTGTGTAATTTAATTTCAGTGAGCTGTAATCCATCTGTTCTGAGAAGATTTAGAGATTTGTCAGAGAACATTAGTGACCAATCAGCACCATGAGGACCAAGGACACACCAGACAGGTAAAGATAAACATGTTGTAAAGGGTTGCTTGGTTACAGAATAATATCATAAACCCCAGACATTGGAACTGAAACAGTAACTTTGGAGGAGCTGCAGACATCAACAGCTCATTTTTGAAAAGACAGCTTCCATTATGCAATCTTTCCTTCCTGGAAAAATGTAAAGAAGTATAAAAATATGTAATTTGCAAGCAGACACAGCAAATGTGTGGAGGAAAATTAACACAGCACATTGACCTGACTGTGACATTTACCTTGAAGCATTAGTAAAGCAGTTGATTTAAAACAGGGACAATATGAAAAAAAAACATTAATAAAAGATGGAAAGTTAGTTTCTATATGTAGTTCCTCCCTATGTGAGTTAATAAAATTGTTTTAAGTAATCATTGAAAGCTCCCGTATACTGTATATTCAGTCACTGTACTGTCATAAAGTTACAGCAATGTCAACATTGTATGCCTGACTTCTGCTCTGGAAGATTTCTAATAACACTTTCCTGACATTACAAAGAAAGTCCTTCAGGTCAGGGGAAAGTTTAAGACTTTCTGGGACTTTGTTCCATTCTCTAATGCCTTTGAATGAGAAAACTGTCTGCAAATGCGGAGCTACCTTTAGGTTTTCGTTACTATTGGTGGAGCTGGAGCGCCTGGTTGTGAGCTCAGAGCAAAACTGGAAAAAGTTTTTCAATGCTGAAGGAGTGCCATTACTCATCGTTTTAAAATAAGCCCCACTTTAGAAGAATGCATCTTCATTAAACACAGAAAGCCTTTTCACAAAACCTACTGGAAGTTCACGTTCTAGCATTTTGACCCTGGCCAAGTATGTGGAAACATTACAGGGTATCTATACTAGATTCTCACCAGTTTAGTCATTTGTTGCCACATTTTCCTTTTCTGTGTTGTTAAATATTTTGTTGGTTGTTAGTTACAACCGTTTATGACAGCAGAGACGTTGGACTCCACCTCCAGCTGTCAGTCAGGATGCACATAGTGTTTAATGAGAGGCGGATGATGTAATCCTGATTTCATCCTGTAACTCTCCAAAGAGTTAAAGACTAGAGAAGACACCTCTAACTTCACACTGAGGATCGCTTATCTAGATTTCAGGCTTTGCACTGCAAGCCGGCTGAGGACACAGCGCATATCTGCCTGAGGATCTTGCCTCTGGGTTTTAGTCTTCAGGGATGTAGCTTTAGTTCAGGATGCAGTTACCTGTCTGCGTTTGCAGAGAAGCTCAGTAGTCGTGACAAGTTGAAATCCGACGTTCTAAAGTTAGTGACAGTGAAGAGCTTCGAAGCTGCAGGATTTTAGTTTTCAGTGAGGCGAACAGAAACGATGGCGGAAAACCTTCGCAGTCGCCAACATCATCCCATGGTGACAAAGACACACTGGAGGAAACCGAGCAGTGTAAGTGATTTTATTTTGAAAACACTGCAAATCTTCAACAGAAGTTAAGCAGAACAGAATGAAAACTAAGTCCAAAGCCATTCACTTTATGCAAAATATTTTTAAAATTGGACACAGATGTTAATTTTTTTTTTGTATAAAAAATGTTAAAGTTTTCTAACGTTTTATTGAAAAGCCAGGAATCGTGCAGAAGCTCTGCGCTTTTCTGCTTCTAATCTCTGGTTACAGCCAGAATTGTTTACTTTCAGGGTTTGTGGCAGACTGTTGTTTGCACATGGTGGAGGACTTTACTCAAACTCACACAAAGCTAAGACATGATTGCTCTGTACACAGGGTATTTGTGTCGGGCTTTGCAGGTTGTAGCGTTCAGCCATCTCTTAACTACACCGGGTCGATAAAGTCCACGGATTGGTGCTGCTCATTGTCAGCTGTTTCAGGAATGTTTTGCAGTAAAAACACAATAACACAACAAGAGTTGTTCAGATGATTTGCACGAAACATGTATAGGGTGAGGCAATTACAGGTAGAAAAACAATAAGTATTTCATGAAAAAAGGTAAAATGTTTGGACAGATGTGAAAAGCAATTACAGCTATAAATACTAATCAGGTGATTGCAAAAGGCAGTAAAACTAACAATTTTGTTTTTATGCCACAATTTTCTGTATACTTCACTTTGTATTTGTCATACATAATTATGAGAGAAACACTACTTGAGATTCATAAAGGCAATTGACTGAACTGGATGTTATTCTAGGGTGTCAGAATGATGACACCCTACAAGGCTCCGTCATTAGTCATCATTTTCAATATTCATCTACTAGTTAAACCTTAAAATAATTTGTTGCAGAAAACTGAAAGGTATTACTGTCTGTATTCGCTAAAATACTGCGGAACTGATGTTTGGTCCTACATGATTACCAAGTGAAATGCCATTCTTTCAAGAATCAATTAAGCTTCTTTTAAAGTAAACATTCATACTGTCAGATGAACTCAGACATGTCATCTCCTCTCCTCAGACCACAGATTTATTTGAAATGATTGAAAAGATGCAGGTAAGATGATGCATAGATCTGTGTATTTCCGTCTCGCCTCACAAAGCTGAAAACACTAACCTGCCGGTGTGTCTCTTTCTAATTCTGCTGCATCTCTTCCTGGCGATGACACTCCTTATCTTCTTCTGTTTTTTTTGTTACTCAATTGAATCTTGAGTCTTGCTGGTTTCACACCAGCTGCTTTTCCTCAGCGTCTCTACCAACGTTCTGGTTGAGACATTGGCTGACAGCGCTGTAAGCTTATTATCTCACTTCAAACACTATCTCCTGGTTTACTGAAGCTTTTGGAAAGATGTTTTAATAAGTCATGAAATCCTACACATGAGAGGCTAAACAGCTTATCAAAAGGCACAGCATTTTTGTGTGTTTGCAGTTTATGCTCCGGTGATGGCGTACACACATTAGTCATCATTTTCAAAAATATCAAAAAGCGCTGCAGACAAGAAGGCTTCCAGAAGCTTTCGCATATTTTATGTTTTGCAGTTGCTTTTTGTGCAAACAAATATATTTCTTTCGACAGAAACAGAGCTGCATAATATATATTTACCTTAATAAAGTTTAGCCTTGTCATGACTGCAACTCCGTTTCTCCATTTCTGCATCCCCTCTCCCCATGCTCTGTCACACACACACACGTACACACCCACACACACACACGCGCGCGCGCACACACACACACCTGAGTGAGAATGGCTGTGAAGCATTTCCACCCAACTTTGCATTTTTGTAAGCCTTCAGGGTCTAATTCCCACACTTCTGCAGTTTGTTTACTACTTTGCTTCCACTCCCCACCCCACACTGTCCTCTAGTCTTTCAGTATCCCTTCCCCGTCTATGAAACATATCTGTTTCAGTTTTTTTCCATCTGTTCCTATTTGACACTGCTTTGCTTTCTGCCTCACGTCTCCTGGGAGAAGTCTTGTTGTTATATAACGAGTTTGATCCTTTTCTCCCAGTTTGCTACGTTTTATTTTTAGACTATGATTATTACACTGCTCTACGAACATTGTTTTTTTTTTTTGTGTGTGTGTTTGTATTGGGACGTTTTTTTGTGTGTAATTTTCTTCTTTTATTGTCTTCTACCTACTTGTGACAGGGCAGCAGGATGGATGAGCAGAGATGCGCCTTTCCTCCACCTCTAAAGGTACGACTTTGCCTTCACAGGCACTTTATTTTTAATATGTGACCCGGACTGAAATATCTGTGTAACATTGTAGTATTGCTGAATTGTTTAGTGAACGGTTTGAACAAAACTTTGAATTGTTTCTTTTATAAAGAGATTAATAATAGAAAATAAGAGAGATTATATAACACTGTATGACTGCTCTATCAGTGTATATTTAGAATATATTTTTATTATTTGAATACTTTTCAGACTGAAGAGGATTACATTCCATACCCAAGTGTTCATGAGGTGGGAAAAATGCATTTCTTATTTACAATGAGAGAAAAATGTTATCATCTGCTGATTCTGTATGTTGTTTCTCTTACAAAGAATTGAACAATTTCAAATTTTAATGCTCACTCCCTGTTTATTAAAGAAAGACAAACTTGTCACAGAAAATACAGAAAAAATACATTACATAATAGATTAAAGGTTGAGAAAATGTGTATTTAATCCGTGAGAGAGAATAAAATAGGCATCCATCACTGAGATATTTCTCAGTGATGGATGCCTATAACACAAAAATGTGATTTTTGGTGCATTTCTCCTTATGGAAATTTTATACTTGCTCGTGGTCATTTAGCCTCAATCTACTTCAATCTGTACCATCAAACAAACAAATTTGTGCAGATATTCTAAGCCATATAGTATTGTTATTTTTCATGTTCGTTAAGTATTTTGACTATAAAATAAACCAAAATTCTGCACTATTTTAATTTGAAACATCATCTTTCTCAAGCCATTAGAATTTAATTTCCATGGATTTTTAGACTGAAGATTTTATGATAAATTTACTTTTTGGTTTCAGGTTTTTCTTTTTACTTGGTGCTTCTTGTAGAAGCACCAAGTAAAAAGAAATAATGGTACGTTTACCTCTCAGCCTTTTGGTCTTGACCAAAAGGCTGAGAGGTAGAAAAGAAAGATATTGATTTTGTGAACTGGTGTGCATTATATCGTGACAAGAAGTGATCACTGATCAGGAGTGATTAGCTCATTAATCTGGAGGTTAAATGGGCATGTAGCAAATCTGAGGAAGCCAGAATTAAGGCTTGGTTTTAGATGATCAAATATTTTTCACTTAATACCATCTAGTGCCTTTTTCACCTTCTTCATGAATTTTCTTTCTCTGGTCTTAAGAGAAACGAGAGAAAAAAGCTGCAAAATCAACAGGGAATTAAATGGCGCTCTCGCTCAAGTTTTTGCAGTGCTGATGTTTCACCCGTATTTTCAACAGGTGTTGGGAAAAAAAAGCCCCTTTCCTCTCATTCTGCTGCCACAGTTTGGTGGTTACTGGATTGAGGGAACCAACCATGAGCTGAGTGAAGCTGGGGACCCGGAGCAGCACCGACCGCCGTCACCCAGCAGCCGCACTAAACTGGAATGTAACACAACGGCCACACTGTACAGGAAACACTTCCTGGGCAAGGTGAGTAAATTATATGTACAATTCTAATGCAGCTTCTTCTCTTCTGATCTGAACTTTATCAAAAATGGTGAAAAACACGGGCTGCACAGTGGCGCAGTGCAGCAAGAAGGTCCTCTGTTGGTATGGAGTTTGCATGTTCTCCCTGTGCATGTGTGGGTTCTCTCCAGGTACTCCGGCTTCCTCCAACAGTCCAAAACAGTCTTAATTCTCCCTAGGTGTGTGTGTGCGTGTGTGTGTGTGCATGGTTGTTTGTCCTGTCTGTCTTTGTGTTGCCCCGCGACAGACTGGCAACCTGTCTAGGGAGTACCTCGCCTCTCGCCCGAAATGTTCGCTGGAGATAGGCACCACATTTTGTATGACTTACCAGAAGTAATTCATACAAAATGTACAAAAAATAAATTAATACACAAATTGCTAATGATTTAAAAGTGTCACTGATGAGATAAAAAAGAGATATTTGAAATTAATTCATTAAAGGTTACAGTTTTGGAAAAAATGAAGAGACCACAGCCCTGAAAACCTCCTGGTCTTTCCACCAAATATTGATTTCTGAGTTAAAACATTAGTCTAACTCATGAATATGAACTTGTTTTATTTGCATTATTTGAGGTCTGAAAGCACTGCATCTCTTTCGTTATTGTGACTTTTTCTCATTCTCTGCAAATAAATGCTACATTAGTTCATAGAATAAAAGAACAGTGTTCATTTTACTCAAACATAAACATAAGAAGCGTAAAATCAGAGAAACTGATTATTTTTCCAGAGTTGTATATAAGACCATATTGTTTAATATTTAATTATTTGTGGTTTGAAGTTGTTTAAACCGTCACTGCAGCTCATCGAATAGACACTAATGTTTAACTGGTAAATCTGCACAGCAACTCAGTGTCAAATGAGTTTTATTATTAAGAGCAGAAGAAGCCAAGCCCTTTTACTGTGATGTTTCAGGCTGGAAGATAATATGAATTTGTAATGCGTTGCATTAGGCAATGAATTATTCTACAGGCTTAAAAGGAAACGATTATTAAGTAAAATAAAAATATACATATATTTTCAATGAATAAGCATCCATTTTTGGTTATGAAATTCTTGCTTTATTGTATGATTTATAAATAATCTGTTGGTTTTCAGTTTTTAATGATTTAAGTACTTAATTGGGGAACATTTAAACCTCCAAAGTTAGTTGGTAATGATAAAATAAACCTGGTGTTTGACATTCTTAAAGTCTCTTTATCTGTGTGTAAAGTCATAGTTGAAAGGGCAAATAGGTTAAAATATAATGTGCTACTCAGTAATCTGCATTTGAAGGTTCTTCCACTGAACATCTTGTGCAATTACACTCGGATGTATCTTAAGATGTTTTTCACATCTGTTTAGAGATGTTAACAAATTTGTCCATTTGTCTGGTGGAAGTACTGCAGCAAAATGACATATGCATTGATTATCTGGGTTTGTTTTTGATGAATACTAATGGCGTTGTGCTAACTCTGTGCCCTCAGGAGCACTTTAATTACTATTCACTGGACAGTTCCCTTGGACATCTGGTGTTCTCCATAAAATATGATGAGATTGGTGACCAGGAACATCTTCGTCTCATGCTCAGGTAACACTCAGTATGTATGTGTGCAGCCTGTGTGATTCTCAGCTTTACAAAGAACTATTGTAAAGGCTTAAAGGGAAAGTTTACCACTTTTAGCAGCTGAAGAGCTTCAGCAAATGCAGCGTAATAATTTTTCCCCTAAAATCCCCAGTGTGGTGATAATGTGTGACTGGATGGACGCGTCGTCCTGCTGTTACTGCAGCAGCCATAAAGCTAAAGAGAGTGTCAACAGAGCTGTCACTTCCAACGACGGAGTAACAGATGGACTATTTAGACCAGAGAGTGGGTGTGATAGGAGGAAGAACAGGAGGCAAAGAGAGGGGAAGTTTGACGATTGGTTTTTGTTCTATAGCATCTGATGGATGAATTATTACTCTATAACGTCAACAGAACCAAGCTGAAAACCTACCAAGATGTGATCCCCATTTCCTGCCTAACAGAGTTTCCCAACGTGGTCCAAATGGCCAAGGTGAGAAGAGATGCATTTCTGTGAACAATAACTGATCAGTGGCCTCATCCTGACTTTTTCGTTGTTTTGAAAATTTAAACCCAAGCTCGTCTGTGAGGAAGTCAACGTGGACCGTTTTTACCCTGTCCTCTATCCAAAAGTAAGTTGGCACCGCCAGTTTTGTATTTGTCTCGCTCAATAATTAAAAATTTAAATAGTTTGACAAGCAGGGGGAGTGGGAGCTTTGTGCGAGTGTTAAGGAGACACTGGATGCTGGTTTTACAGTTCCACAAACCTCAGTGTATTTTATTTGTATCTATTTGTACTTCACCAAGAAGAAGAACCAGTAGCAAATTCCTCTGATCAGACAAAACCAAGTTTGAACATTTTGGTTTTCATTCAAAGTTCCATCTATGTCAGAAATAAAGCACTGCACATCAGCCTTGACACATTTTCACAGTGAAACATGCTGTAGAGATGCCAGTGTTAAACAGGGGCAGAAATGCTGGTCAGGGTTGATAGGAAGAGAGATGGAGCTAAAACCGGACAAAATTGGAAGAAAACCCATCAGAGGCTGCGATTCGACTTAAAAACTGCTCACAGACCCAATCTGATGTAAGTTGAGCTATTTGCTTATTATTTCCAGCAAATTCAGTTTCTAGACATCCAACGCTGACATAGTCACAATCTAAAGGGCTTCCAGCTATAATTACAAATCCATAAATCTACTCTATAAGCCTGAATAAAATGCATAAAACTCTTTCCAGATTTTTTTTTCTAAAATAATTAAGACATCCATATCCCTTCATCACCAATTTGTTCTTTTACCTCCTAATTGTTTTTAAATCACTGAGGCAAATTATTCAGAACTGGCTGACTAAAATCTCAATGTACCCACTGAAATAAATCTTCCACTGAATTTGTTGAATAATATTTTGCAAATCATTTGCATACCTTCGATGCAAAGAAAAGAATCGAAGAAAAAGTAAGAAATGCTTGCTAATCAAGCTCAATTGGTTGCAATTGATCAGCCCTTATCAAGAAGGTAATTGACAAAAAATATCTTTTGTGTGTTTCTTTAGGCTTCAAGACTCATCGTCACATTTGATGAACATGTGATCAGCAACAACTTCAAATTTGGGGTCATCTACCAAAGGTTCGGACAGGTGAGTAACAGAGTAGGTGTTCGTTCTGTTATGAGCTGCAGGAATGCAGGGAACGTGCTGTTCTTCTTCCTCCTGTGAACAATGAGCATGCATATTCAATGCAAGTTCTTATATTCCTCAAGGAAGCTGATTATGCTCAGTCCGTCTTGTACTAATTATGTCTTTCTGTCAAAGCCAGTCATTGTTGCTGCCTTCAGTTCACCCTCTCATTTTCTGAGCCAATCAGTTCCTTTGTGTCAGGGAGCAGGGCTGGAAGGACGAAAGAGCAACTCTGAGCTATTCCAAGAAAACTTGCAGGTTCTGATAGGCACGTGTTGATAAGGCCTAAAAGTAGGCGCTTTTAATTTTGAGAAAGACTCTCTGGTTAGGGCGACTTTCAGGAACTTAGAATATTATAAACAAAGGCAGCTTCTTCTTCTTTATTCTGCCTGTTTTAAGGTAAAAACTCCTTTTCTCACTATCAACTGATAATTACCGTTTAGGCTGAGAGGATTGTAACCACAAGCTCCCTCGTCTCTGAAGGTTCTGTCTAATTTGGCATTTGGCAATTATTGAAGTTATCGCAGCACAATATGCGTATCTTTATTTTTTGTGCTTGTGCCATAACTGCTGCTCTGCCAAACAAATGTTCTCTGCCACTCTTCCCAGTCCTTCTACTTGATATTATTAAACTAGACTTGGAAAGTACTATTGGAATTCATTCACTTTTTCAGAAAGTGGCATTAAAGTCAACAAGAAACACAGCAAGAAGGTCAGTAATAAAGTTGTGAAGAGGTTTAAAACAGGGACAGGCTAAAAAAAATTACAAGATTTGAACATCTCATAGTCGACGGTTCATTGGTTTACATGCAAAACCCCATGTGTTTCTTAAGGAGCTGCAGAAAAGATCAGAGCATATTTAAATGCTAGAATGGCTCAGTTAAAGTCCAGATCTAAATGCATTTTGACACCTGTGAATAGACTGTTCACTGCTGCAATTGCAGCTAAAATTTGTTCTGCAACACCTGGAAATGCATGCCATGCTTTATAGATTTTTGTTCAACTGAGGGTAGAGTAACCAAAACATTTTATTCAAGTAAGAGGGGCACTACTACGACATATTTTCATTTACATCATCAGACAGAACAAAATATAAAGTTATGCAGAAGTTTTTATGTTTTGAATATCAAAATTCATAAAGGTAGAATAATTACAAAATAAAAAAATCCATTAAAAAAGAAACTTTTCCATGTAGATTTCTTTCAATGAAAAATTTAAGAAACCTGTATGGCTAAAATAACCTTGTTCATTCAGTGGAGTTTTTCACAGTAAGTAGGGAATCCAGAGATTTTACTCAGTAGTAAAGTACTGACTGAACCTTTATAATAAAATTACTCAAGTAAAAGTAAAGAGGACAGCATAGCAAAAATACTCCTAAAGTTCATTTGCGCAAAATCCCAATGTAGTACATTGAGCTCTGGTCAAAATGAAGAGCCCACTGCATTGAACCCCACTGAAAACGTCCTGGTTATTCCTCCAGATATTGATGTCTGAACTCTTCCTGAGTTAAAACATTACTGTTGTTGTTTCTAAATCAATATGAACTTGTTTTCTTTGCATTATTTGAGACCTGAAAGCACTGCACCTTCTTGTTATTTGGATTCATTTTCTGCAAATAAATACAAATTTTTTGCTTGGAATTTTGGAGACATGTTTTCAGTAGTTCATACAATAAAAAAACAATGTTCATTTTACTCAAACATTTATCTATAAAAAGTGAAATCAAAGAAATGTGTGGTTGTAATGTTATTATGTTTATGAGATATGAATATGTTATTTTTTTATTTGCTTTCCTGGATTCAGACGTCAGAAGAGGAGCTGTTTGGCAACAGCGAAGAAAGTCCTGCCTTTGTAGAGTTCCTGGAGTTTCTGGGAGAAAAGATTGAGCTACACAATTTTAAAGGGTAAGTGTCAAACAATAGTTGTCAAGGCTCTAAACGAACTCCACTACACTCCTATTTGTATCCCATCATGCACGCTGCAGGAGTAAATGGTCACGCTTTCTGCAGTGATGGTGGAATATCCTGTTAGACATGCTTCTGTTTACTTGCAGTTTCCGCGGAGGGTTAGATGTGACTCATGGGCAGACTGGCACCGAATCCATCTACTGCAACTACCGCAACAAAGAGGTCATGTTCCATGTGTCCACAAAGCTGCCTTACACAGAGGGGGACACGCAGCAGGTAATGTGACACCATGGGACTCCGACACACCTTTCAAGATTCATATCAAGCGGTCAGGCAAGTTCCCCTCTGAGTATAACAGTACACCATTTCCCTGTTTACCCACGCTGAGTCAGAAAATAGCAGTGCATAAAATGCATACATGATCCATTACCATTTGCATATGTGAGCTGATTTTTCTGATTTTGTGTATCGTTTTTTTCCTTTTCCCCACACAAGTACTGATTATTACATGCTAGTTTACACTCCAGCATGTCACATTTTGTACAGACACAGATGGGAATGTCTGTGTTCACATGCTGAGCCTCCCAGCCAGCAGTAGTGGGTGTTATATATATGCCAGGTTGACCTAAAACAGCGAACTTGTCTGGCTGACTTCAAGAGAAACAGCGCCTCTTTGTGGTGGTTTGCAAATTTACATGTTGGCAACTGAAAGTAGGATGCATTTGCTCTTTAATGTCTGCATTTTCTGAAAATGGAGGGCATTCATCTGATAAATAAAATGTAGAACTACATCTTTTACACCTACTGTGTTTTATTTATAGTTGTTTGTGGTTCTTTTGCTTTATACAATTGGAAATGTGCAAATTTTATAAGCTTACTGTCATAAGATATGAAGGCGTTCTTGATTATGTTCCCAGAATACTTGAGAACGAATTAGCAGTGGACTTTGTTTTTTGGCTTTGAAGTTAAACTTTAGGCATTACACATTTTTAGTATTTTTGTTAGTTTCTGTCCACAAACAGTGGTTTGCTTGAAATAAAAAAAGTCAAGTTTTCATGTCATCCTAGCAGAGTTGTGTGCTCCATATGACTTGCAGAAAACTACAGGTGGGACTCTAGTGGTTTTCTTTTGTCCACTCTTCTGTAAAAGCCTGATTTGTAGAGGTCATGTTTGTTAGTTGCACTGCAAAGATTCTCCCACCTGAGCTTTAGTTGTCTGCAGTTCCTCCAGAGTTAACATGGGACGCTCTACCTCTCTTCCTAATACAGAATATGAACTCTGCTTTACACTTCTCTATAAATTTAATTCTTTGTTTTTTGGTCTTCATGTTCTCTTAACAACCCTTTTGAGACTTTCACAGAATAATTTAATTTATACTGACATAAAACTACATTTGCTTGTGCTTTTTATTAGTTACTTCTGAAGTTAACTGCAATTGACATTTAGGAGTGTCAGAGTAAAGGAGGTTGCATGCCTTATAGATTTAAGACATCTATTGGTGAGAACCATTAGCTTCCGTCTATTACATTACTTTGTGGTTTTAAGATGAAAAACGTGATCACAAATTTGAAATATTTTTTAAATATAATCTCAAGCTTATTCCTGGAGTTTTGTGCTTCAGTTGCAGAGAAAAAGGCACATAGGCAACGACATCGTGGCCATCGTATTCCAAGAGGAGAATACTCCCTTTGTGCCAGACATGATTGCCTCCAACTTCCTTCACGCTTACGTTGTGGTCCAGGTGGTCAACCCCTGCTCTGACAACGTTGTCTACAAGGTAAACTCTCCTCACTTTACTTTTTTCTGCTTCTTTGAGATAGTTGATGTGAGTGATTATTCTTCGGCCTTAATATTTGTTCCCAGGTTTCAGTCACGGCTCGGGATGATGTTCCTTTCTTTGGCCCAGCTCTCCCAAACCCGGCCATGTTTAAAAAAGTAAGAGAAACACGCAGCTTAACAATCAGTCAAGTCATCATATTTTTATGTTGAACTGCTTTCCTCTCTCTGCTTTGCTTTTAATTAGGGCCCTGAATTTCACGAGTTTCTGTTTACAAAGCTAATCAATGCAGAATATGCGTGCTACAAAGCTGAAAAGTTTGCAAAGCTGGAGGTGAGTTCTTGGACGTTTTTCGTCAAACATAAAAAAATCTGTACATTCTATTCGTTTCTCATTCTCTTTTTTACATTTGCGTGTTGTGGTTTCAGGAGCGAACACGATCAGCTTTGCTTGAAACCCTTTATGAGGAACTCCATGTGAACAGCCAGGCCATAATGGGAGTTGGAGGAGAGGACGACAAACTGGAAAATGGGAATGCAGGAGGAGGGGGATTCTTTGAATCTTTTAAGGTAAAAGGAGAGTCAGATGCACAAACTGCACTGCCATAAGAAACTATGTAAAAGCAAAGTCCTGTTTGAAATGTGCAAATCTTTAATCCAGGCCCAACATACGTCAGCGTAATTTAGGATTACATTTTGTATGTTTTGAGGGTTTCCTCAGACATTTTACTGGCTAGTGGAAGGAATTTGCACCATTCTTGTTGTATTGATCTACAACCTTTAGAGGTGCTGCTGCAATTAGTTATTTGGAGCTTCTTGTTTCTAGGCTTAAATAACTGGCTGCCATCTGTGACTTTATCAAAGAGACAGAATTGAGCAAGATATTGATTTTCTCCATTATTCACTGCACAAAAGACAATATTTGTATTTTCAAAAATGTCAGCCTATCCATTCGGCAGATACTGCTTTTGCTGGTATTGTAAGATGAAATAGATCAATGTTATAACACTGACGCATTGACTTTTTGTGACCTTTATGTTTTAATACCTGTCGTTGGATTTTTCTTATGGCTTTTCTCTGGCAGCTCAGGCTCTTGACACTTGTACACAAGCTGGGCTGTAAGAGCTTTATCACCGCCTCCCAGTTGTTGTTAAATCTGAATGAAGTGGATTTCTGCAGCTCTTTGCTCCTCTTTGCTTCCCAGCTTTTCTTCCTCGTGCATCCTGGCAGCAACTTGACGCTGTGCTCTCTGCATGCTGCTGAGCTGCCACACTTTTTCACGATGCTGTCACTAATTCACAGCGACTGGGCAGATTTCGAATTGCTCTGCTTCTCCGCTGCGTTGCATCCAACTGAATTTAACTACTTTTAGCAGCTTGGTGGTTTGACATCTGCTTATTCTTTCTTCCTCGTCCTGCCATCTACCTAAATATAATAACTCATCAGCAGAGCTGTCTGCTTCTTCCTTTTCTGTCAGTGGAAGTCAAAGACGCGATCCCGGTTCCTGTAGGGGACAAATATCAGTGCCATCTGAATGTATCTCCTCCTCCTCATTTCTTTCCGTAGCGGGTGATTCGCGGTAGGAGCCAGTCAATGGATGCCATGAGTCTAACTTTAAAGAAGCCATATGCAGTCTCCAATAACCTGAGCAGCCACAGTCCTGCAGAGAGCCCTAAATTCCCTGGGATAGTAAGTACAGTGCCTCTCTTCGCCTCCATTAAGGCGAACCTCGCTACCTCTGCCTCCTCCAGCACCTCTTCCCGGCCCTTTATCGCCTCTTCCTCACACGCTTGCCGCATTAACTTCTCACACTGACGCACCTTTCCCTCAGCCGAGGGGATCAATAACAGACTGCTTTGGTCTGGAAGCTGACTCTCATGTTGCAATTAGTTGTAAACTGTCTGCAAGATGGAGTGAGAGGAAACTGGCTGGTTGTTAGGCTTGTGGTGATGGTTTGGGGTTAAAGCTGTCCTTTATAAATCCTAAAGCATCTGCATTCTTCACTGCAAAAACACAAAATCTAACCAAGTAGTTTTGGACTATTTTCTAGTGCAAATATCTTACTTGAAATCAGACAAAACTAGTTTACAAGTTACCTTTTCTAGTACTTGTACTAGTTCCTTTTCATCAATATTAAGGAATTATTGACTTAAAACAAACATCTCACTGATAAGTTAGTTTTGTCTAATATCTTCACTAGAAACCAAACCAAAATTACTTGGTAATATTTTGTGTTTTGCATTGTAATACAAGCATAATAAATCTCTAATGTGTTCCAATAGTTTGCTAACAATATGTCTGCCATTATGTGCACAATACGTTAAGCATGGGTTCAATTGATAAGCACAGAAAATTGTTGACTGAAGAAAAGGATGAAAACCTTGTAACTTTGCCTTACTTCAGGATGTTTGTAAGCGAGATGAACTAATTCAAAGCATCATTGTTGCTTCAGCTCTTTAATCTAGCAACTTTTCTGATCTGAGCTGTTTACAAGGTTTTTATCCGATGTTACTGTTGCATTCAGTTTACATCCACCCATCATGGGCATTGCTATCCTAATAATGTCATTCATGTTGTTAGATGTATTCGGAGAGACCTGGATTTGATCTGCAAGAGTTTCCTTTCCAAAACAGGCTAGGATGTGTTTTTGGGACCATTTTTGGTCTATTATTGCTAACGTGCTAACAACACATTAGCAATAACAGTTCAAACTCATCATTTAAAAGCCCCAAATTATTTTTATATTCATGCCCATGATAGCTGCATGCAAACCTCTGAATATACAGCTCTGGAAAAAATTAATAGACCACTTAAATGATCATTTCCCTTGCCTTTACTCTTCACAGGTATATATTTAAGTAAAATGAACATTGTTCTTTTATTCTATTAACTACTGACAACATGTCTCTGAAATTTCAAGCAAATCTTTAGTTTTTATTTGCATAAAATGGGAAATGGTCAAAATAACAAAGAAGAAGCAGTGGTTTCAGACCTCAAATAGTGCAAAGAAACGTTCATATTCATTTAGAAACAACAGAACTAATGCTTATAGTTCAGAAATCAATATTTGGTGGAATAACCAGGAGGTTTTCAGTCGGGTTCACTGCAGTGGGCTCTTAGTTTTTTTTCCAGAGCTGAACAATGGGAAAAAAGATAAATACATTGAACAGGATTTACTGTTGCAGCCGTCAGTAAAAATGATTGCTTTCTTTTTGAGAAGATGCTCTCTAATGGTGTTTAGCACATTATGATGACACCTAAGAATACTTGATCGTCCGCTCCTCTCTGCTACTTTTTTTAATCTCTTCTTCATCATCTTCCTCACAGGCATATATTGCTTACATAACCGGTTCATCATGTCTCTCTCCCATTCAGCTGCCTGTGTTGCCCACGGAGCCATTTGTATTCTCTAGTTAACTTATGTTTGACTGACATGACTTACTGCATGAAATCTCATATATATTTGTATAAATCTCATGTTTTCTCTCCTCCTCATCTCTCTTTTTTATGTCATCACCATCCTCTCCTCCTCCTCTTCCTCACTCTTTCTTCTTCTTCTCTGTTTCCTCTCTTCCTGTCTGCCTCAGTCATTGCTTGTCCCAGGCAAAAGTCCCAGTAAATATGGACGCCGTGGCAGTGCCATAGGGATAGGAACAGTAGAAGAGGTTCATGTCTAATTACTAACTACCTTTGAACTTATTTCTGCTGCTTTCTGTTGCTTTTATTTGTCTGCATGGCTCCGCTGCATCAAGGCCGAACATAATTCCCTGCACATTTCAGCTCCTCTTACTTCCTTTTGGAAATCCAATCATTTGAATTGTTTAGTTTTAAAAATTAAACGGACAAATCCAATATGATATTGAAAGGCCAAAGTTAATTTAAAACTGACACGCTCGTTTTACTGTTTTCTGCTTTGCTGCAGTAGGTGCTATCTTTCTACAGTGTTTCTCTACTCTGTTTATGTCCAGTTAGTTAATTGAAATAATTCAGTAAGCCCCCCTTCAGAGCTTTCACTAAGAGAATTGCCTTGCTGCTCTCTGAAGCCACATGAAATTAAAATCTTTTTTAAGTTCCTAATTTGAGACCTTTAAAAATGGAGACTGACTGAACAAAGCAGCTGCTGAGGAAGCATATTTACAGGCAGCCTCTGCAGCCTGCTCATCTTTTATCTCCCGCTTCAGCGCGCCGTGCTCTGACAGGGGGACTTTCACCTTCTCTTGGCATGAAACGCGTATTTCTCCCTATTTTTTCTCGTCTTTGTAGCGCCTGAAAAGCCACATATTACCCTGATAAATCAGAATGTGTTTTTGGAATTTGCTTTCCTTTTAAATTAAATTTAGAATGTGTTGTGGATTGGAATAGAACTTTAGAAGGTATTCCCACAGTCTGACACTTGATTTTCTGCTCTCCCTGCCAGTCTCTGATTATCCCAGGAAAAAGCCCAACAAGGAAGAAGTCAGGTCCTTTCAGCTCCAGGCGAAGCAGCGCCATCGGGATCGAAAACATCCAAGAAGTCCAGGAGAGAAGGTGGATGAAGACTGTTGTTTATTATTACTGCGCTTTGAACTTGTTCTCGTTTTTTCACATTGCTATTTATTGGTATTTTAATTGGTTTCATTGGTACATTCTGGCACAACCGGCCCTTTAAGAACAATGAGATATGACCCAAAATGGAAATGAGCTTGACAGCCATGAACTAGAGAGTCCTCTGGCAGATTATCCCACAATTTGAGCATCCAATAAGGTAGTGGTTATCCATGATCTGAAGTTGGGAATAGTATTGTTACAACTGCTCAACAATCAACAATCAGTGTTTACCAAAATGACCAGCCTGTGTATGAATCAGTACAGCAGCCAGGAGGAGCTGCAGAGATCCACAATGAGTACCTGCATCACTCTTGGTTGCTTTGTTGGTCATTTCAAACTGTTTTTTTATTTACTTTGTTCTGTACCAGTAGAGAGACATCTCCTAACACTCAGAAGACTCCTGACAGTGGCCACGTTTCTCAAGACCCAAAATCCGACAACTCAGACCAGAGCTCTCCTGAGGTTCTCACAACCACCAAGAACAGGTGAGCATGACAGACTGCAGCAGCATAGCATGTTTTTTTTTTTCTCTGTTGAACTTGTCATGCATCGCCTTGCATAAGCATGGCACCATGCTGTATTGCTGCATGCAATGCATTTGGTGGGATCAGAGAGTGGTAACCCAGGCTGCAGCTCTCATCTTTGTGGCAGGACCCCTTCCATCCCTGAGGGCAACGACCTCTCCCGTTCCTCATCCAACGCCAGCAGCTTTACCAGTGTGGTTGAGGAGAATGAAACCGAGGCAGCAGAGGACTACGACACAGGCATGGTGAGTGGGAAACTCTGCATTTTGCAACTTTAATTAAAAAATATGTTTTTTACTTGTTTGTTAAAACTATCTCCATGCTGTGGAGATAGTTTTAACAAACCTCTTTCTACCTGTCCTACTGTTGTCCTTCTGAAGAAATGCAGCGCTCCCGACCAAAAACAACCAATCTGAACGAGGAGGACGGTCTTAGCGCTGTCAATCAACCTCGTGTGCTCGCGGTTAAATGTGCCAGTGGGAGAGATTCAACTCACCATTTCAGAAAAACTGTTTATCCACCACCATCAGTGACTATGCTAATTAGCCTCAGCATTCATGATAGGCTATGCTAGCTTCAGTGTAGCAGTAAGGAAAGGGGAATGGTCAGCGCCACACGGAAGGGTGATTGACAGCGCCAGGACCCTCCTCCTGGTTCTGATTGATTGTTTTTGGTTGGGAGCAGTGCATTTCTTCAGAAGATCAACAGTAGCACAGGCAGGAAGAAGTTTTGTTAAAACTGTCACAACACACCATGGACAAGTAAAAAACATATATTTTTAAATAAAAGTTCACAAATATGTAAGAATTACTTTTCGTACTGCAGCTTTAAGTCTCTTGTCACACCCAGGAGAGTCTGTCTTCAGCCGGGACGCCTCACAAGCGTGACTCCCTCACCTACAGCACCTGGTTGGAGGACAGCATCAGCTGCACCAGCAGCAACAGTCGTGGCAGCTCTCCAGGTTAGTGGAAAACCTTGTGTAGTCTATTATAAAGAACATAAGAGCGATCATTTTTAGACACCATGCAACATTATAATAAACAATAGATCATTGTGGTTAGGTCTGGTTAGGTCAGCAAAAGTCCCCATTTCTGAAAACAACAGTGAACTCTAAAGATAAAGTTGCAAAGAGATTTTTCATGTGAAATACAGAAAAAAGAAAAAGTCCCTCTTGTGGCAACATTATTAGATCTTTGCAGGTTGCAGATTCATCATTATAATGAGAATTTCTGGAGCCTTCGGAAAAAACAACTAACCCCAATTTCTTTTTCTGAAACTGCAGAGGAAATATCCTGCTAAGAAAAACACTTTTTAAAAATATGATGTACATGTCAGTTGTTGTGATAAGTAGTTCCCAAGTATAATAAAAGACGAATAAGGTTTACCTTGTAAAAAATATGCTAAACCTTGAACATTTTCACGTTGCATTACGTAACTACAGACTTTAATACCTTTTATTGGGATGTAATGTGACAAACTAGTACAAAGCAAAGTGCAAGAACATTTTTGTTAAATACAATATAGCAGAGACAAAAAAGCAACTCAGGACTCTCCAGTCCCTCCTTCCCCTGGAGATGACTTTTGGATGTAAAAAAAAATAATTGTGACATCGAGCAGCCCCCTAAAGGCTGATACTACAGATGCATTTTACAAATTACACCTTTGTATTTGGAGAAAATTACAACTGACCACTTAGAATGTTTTTTTCCCCCACCTTTATTATGCCTTAAAATAATTTGGATTATTCATCATACACATCACTGTACATAATTTTCCACTTTGCATTGGCCTATCGCATAAAATTTCAATAAAATATGTTAAAGTTTGTTGTTGTATTGTGACAAAAAGCAGTCACTAAGGTTTACTTCCTCTGCTGTCTTGTCCCCCAGGGCCCGGTAAATCTGATCGAGGGAAAGCCACCGACATTCGGATCAAACTAGAACGATCACATGACCATCAGTCATCAGTGAGTCACCTGCAGTTATTTTAGATTTTCCACCTCCAAATTTCTGCATGTTTTTCATATCTGGGATTTATTGGTCTTTTATTTGATTATTTGTGCTTCTCTTTGTGCAGAACTGTTAACCCTGCCCACCTGATTATATCCTGAATCTCCATCTTCAGGTTGGACTTATGTCATTCAACACTTACTACGATCAAACGGAATAAACACCCTGTATGAAAATATAAGTGATCAAATGTCGCTTGTGAGTTGTAACCAATGACCTGTTTTCTCCCAAAAGCAGTCCCATATGTCTCACTCCTTCTGAGAGCCATGCATTTGACATGACGTGTGAAGAGAAGGAGAACGATGATGAAGATGAGAGAGGACTATCAGACGGAGCCTGCAGTTGGCTGCTCAGGGAGGACATGCATCCAGAAACCCAGAGGACACTAGGAAGGGTTACGCACAAAAAGGGGCCACATTTTTACATCCTTTGTTTCCTTCCACTCATTTCTTTGCCTGTTTCCACATCCCTTGCCTGGTTGTATTTCTTTTTATCTTTTATTTTCCTGGCCTTTCTTGTAGAAGTGCACATTTGATCTGCAAATGTAAATGTTTTATCTGTGAAAATGTCACTTTTGTTTAGTTGTCTTGTTGAAGTCATGGCGTTCTGGCTATAAAAAGTACAGACTGTGCTCTTAGCTGTCATCATGAGGAAACCTGCAGCCCAAAGATAAAGACAACTTAAAAGGCATGTATCATCATATTTAAAATTTCACCTTTTAAAATGAGGCTTTTTGTTTCACAATTGTAAAAAATTTATTTCCATTTCTGAAGTGGAGCAATATGTAAAGGTATGTGGAAAAAGGAAAATGATAACTAAGAGTGCAAGTTGCAAAAGAGTGATGACATCACGTGTTGGACCCTGCACACAACAAACAAAATAAGTTTTTCTAGAAGATAAATTGTCCCAGATATTATTGCGATAAATGATTATACTGTTGTTTTGTAGATAATAAAGAAAATAATGAGAATAACGTTCAGTTCTCAGAAGTCAATTAGCTTTGATTTTGATCAGAACATTTTACACTGGAACAAGATTTTAAATATCCAAAATAAAACACAACAACTGAAAACAATAAACAAAACGTCAATAAAAATCACACACAACCAAAACTATAAATAAGTATATTAACATCAGAATAGTAATTATTTAGCTCATTTTTTAATCATTTAAATTACATTGAGAAATCTACTGGATAGATAATTGTTTTGGAAAATATAAGTTCTTACCTCATTATTTTTATCAATTTGTGTAAAGAAATATTAGTGCAAATTGTATTTATTTATTTATTCTTTTCTGGTGTTAAAATATGATGACATTTGCCCTTTAAGGTTTTTCGCTTAATAACAGTCTCGCATATAAATTCTGAAGGATTTGGCGCGCATCATGCATCAGAAAAGTTCATTTGTGTAAAATCCAAAGAGAAGAACATAATTGCTGCACTAAGACACTTTCCATCTACTTTCTCCAAATTAAGCACATTTAACAAACGATGAAAGTTTACTGGAAAGAGAATCTCGACTGATACTCTTAAAGTTTTCTTGGCCTTTTAAGTTTATGTTACCTCAATATTTTCACCCACATTCTCATCTACCAAAATCTGTCAGTTGTATTAGATTAACTAATCAGACTTGATTCGAGGAACTGAAGAATTGGTTGCATTGCCTGTCGTGATGAGTCACTGCCTGTATGGTTAGCCGATGTACCAATATAGTCAGTCACGTTATTTTTGTACTTCCGTCTTTCTCCAACCATGTTTTTATTTTTTCCTTGGTTCCTGGTGAAGTGTGAGTTACACGGTACCTCTCTGGTGATAACACTCAGCGTCTTGTCATTCAGCTTGTATATGTTGCGTTGGTGTAATTGTAGTCTCTACCTGTGACGCCTGGCTTGTTTCAGGCCTCTAACCTTGTTCAGTGCAGTAAGTTTACAATGCAAATGTGATCAAACCATGTATATTTATTTGCTTTAAAAGTGACTAAATCCAAACTAAGCTACTGGTTTTGTGTACATAAATATAAATTTAACAGGAGTACATATATTTATAGCAGGTGGATTTTAAATTGGGAGGAGCAACACCATAAGTTTACTGCCAAGTTAAATATTTACTGTTGTTTTATGTCATGTATTCTTGATTTCAGATTTGATTTTGACAGTTTTGTAGATTTTTAAAGGTTTTCAGACTGTAAAAGGGAAAATGTCTCTGTACAACCCATTAACCATTTCAGTTGCCTTATATCACACAATGACAGTGTAAGGAAAGCCAGTGTCGGCAATAGTTAAGTCATCAGGATTTCCAATGAAATGAATGTTTTGCTTTTGCTTGTTTTTACTGTAAATAAATTCCCCAAGAAGTTTAAAGTCTGCTGGACATTGCTTTTACAAACACACGCACAATTTTCACAAAGCCAAAGAGAAACTTCTTTAATTAAATGATTCGATGGGAATTTTATTCCCCCAGAATAAAATGTGAGGATACTGACAGCCCAGGTTTCACATGTGGAACCAAATAGGGGAAGCAGATGACTTCAGACATGAGTCAAATAGCCACAAAGAAACTTAATGTAGTCATGATGAAAAATAAATCTGCTCATGGAACAAATGACTCAGTGGAAACATGTTTCCATGGAGGTTCACAGTAATGCAGATTCACAAACAAATAAATACAAAATATGGGAATAACTGCTGTTGATATCGTCACATGATACACTTAAAATAGTTTTGATAAATTATTTTTTAAAACATTTTTCTAATAGGTTTATAGTAATTTGATGTAATTCAGTACTGTCCTATGTTGTGCTATTTTCATTTAATATTGAAGGTGGTTTGATTAAAGTGGAATAATATATTTTTTTGTTTTTTTTCCACATGCACTGCTGTAGCTTAAAATCTGTGCTGTTTAGTACTATGCATATTAACGTAATTGTGTAGAGTAAATATCTGTTTTTTGTCCTCCATGCTCCGTTTAGTTTGGTGGAAGAACTTTTTTAAACTACAATTGAACTCATTCTCTGGTTAAGCGTGGTGATGAGTTTTTGTTTCTTCCTGAGACACTGTTGAACTCTGTCAGATCCACAAAGTAATTGTCTAAATGAAGAAGTGGTTCACATCTAGACACAATACTTCCATAGCCATCTTACTTTCCAGATTCAAATACTAGATATGAAATATATACAAAACTACCTTAAAACAGAAACTAAAATGGTCTCTTTTTCTTATTCTGGTCACTTATAATTACGCCTTCGTGAGCAGAGAGGCTATTCGATTATTAAGGCTGTGTAATACAATATTCAAACTTTACTCATATTCTTTTGTAAATGTGCTGTTTTTCAATTTGTCCTAAAATCACAAAAATGCAAATAAACCATAGTTCTTTGGGTTTATCAATAATCAATCATTTTTCAGACCCGGTTAGAGTTTAAAGCTCTCGACAATTTGTATTTTTTATTTAGCAGTGGCCGCCAGAGGAGACGGACCTCGTACTTGCGCGGAACCATTGTTCTGTAGTCAAAACAGGAAACGTGGTGAATACGTGTCGCACCTACCGGAAGTTGAATTCCTAAGTCACATTGAGAAGGAAACCCGGTCACGAAAATATCTGGTAATGTAAGATTTGTTTTCATTGTCAGTAGTTTGTGTTGTCGTTCTGTTTAAAATGGGACTTTGTTACTCTTATGGAGGAATATTCCGTAATGTAACGATTTTTAAATCCGCATCCACTGTTAGCTGGATAGCTAGTAGCAAAGCACTCTTTCAAATACGAAACAGGTCGTTATTGCTATGGTTTCTGGTCCTACTTTCGATTTCTTTCATTCTGTTGTTTGATCAATTTGCATTACTGAATATGCATACTCTGAATTTTATTTAGCTAATTTTATTATCCACAATCTGGGTTATTTTACGCAACGTTCCCTGATCTACAAAACCAGCTGCAAATAACTCTTGTATTGTTTTAAGACAGAATAGTTTGCTGATATTTGAGCGCTGGAAACAAAATATTCTTGCCTTTATTTGGTAAATCTCTCTACATGAACTAATTAATCAGATTAACATTTAGTCGCTTTCTGAATCAACTGCAGCAGGGACACAACTAAGACTGACAATTTCACTATTGTTTCTAATTACCTCCGTTTAATTGTCTTTATTCTTTGTTTTGCTTAATTTGTCAACCCAGTTGTACTAATTCAGCTTTGTCTTCTTGTTTGCAGGACCTCTGATGAAACACCCCGTTACTGATGAATTTATTTAGTTGATTGTTGATGATGTTTGCCTTGAGAGTTGTCCCACGATTATTAAGTAGAACAACCTGTAAGTATAAACAAGAAAGGCAATATAGATTTTACTATTATTCTACATTTTTTCTGATATTTCTCCTGAGAAAATTGCAGATTAGTGGAAAAATTTTTTAGTATTTTTCTCTGTAGCTATTACCTGGTTATGATAGCTTTGCAGGAAAACCTTTTCAGTACTAAAATTTGGCATTAATCATTGGGATTGCTCTAATACAATACCCTTGAGTTTCTCGACATCTCAAAAGGAACACTTACTTAAAAAATGTGAGCTAAACTTTGCATGATTTAAAATTATATTTCCACATGTGGCATGCATCTAATTGCCTTTCACTGCAACTGAAGCTGCAAGTCTTTAAGTGGTTTATCTTTAATATCTTTGTTCATTTAGAGAGTGAAATGTTTGATGATTCATCTTTGTGGGAAAAGAAAAACTTAAACTCTTGTCAGATTGAAAGTTGAACTTGGTCTGTCTCTGTTGAAGTTTATTTTATATTTTTGCTCAGCTGTTCTAACAACTGAATTTGATCTTTGCTTTAATTGTGGCTTTATGTTTGGGGTAGACCTGCTGGAATGTGAACCTCTTGACCCCTTAAGTTTTCTTTGAGTATTGGGTTGCAGTTACATTGTGTGAAGTTGAAAAATTGAGTTGAGATGATCATACTTTGGAAAACCATCTTAAATTACTCTTTCTCTTTTTATTCCCAGATGGAGGTCAAGTTCATAGAGGGATTCTGAACACATGCCTACCGTCTTGCTGCTCATCGCTACAGCAGAAACTAAGAAATTACTCGACAGCAGCAGATAATACGTCTCCTCCACGATGGGTCCAGCTTGAGCCAGAGCTGGAAGAGGCTCTGGTGCCGCGGAAGCTTTCGGTGAGTCCGCTGGAAAGCTGGCTGTCTCTCCGCTACTCCCTACCGCCGCTGCTGCAGTCGGCGCCGCCGCAGGGAGACGTAGAGCTGCCGCAAGAGAAGCTGCTGCCACCGATCTCCGTGCCAGTTTTGGAGGACGGGGAGGGCTCAGCAACACCCATGAAATGCAAGAATGTTTTAGAGATCCGACGGCGAAGGATGAACCGGCATAAGTACAAGAAGCTGCAAAAACGGACTAAATTCTTGAAGAGGAGAATTTTGGAGGGCAGGGGGAGAAAAAAGCAGGTGAGGTGCAAACGGTTGAATGTAACTCTGCTATTCTCTTATTCTGTGTGTGCTCTTGTCAGATAAGCTTGGTTATTTATGTTGTGTGCAGAAAAGATTTGAGGAGGATCTTGAGAGGATATGGAAGCGAGCTGGACTGAAGAAAGCTGTGGACGGCTGGACCACACCTAAGATCTTTGTTAAACAATACAGAAAAACAAAGAACTGAGGAACATTGACAACAAATGTTTAGTCTGTGTTGCATCATTCCCACATGCTGACCCTGAACACCTCTCTTCATCGCCAGGTCATAAGGTCATGATCCTTGTGTTCGGTTAAGATCTGCAAATACGTTGTCTAAATAAAGATCTCACTTTTATTTCACTCAAAAAGTTTTTCTTTTATTCCTTTCTACATCCAGTACTTTGAATGATTATTTAGAATCCTTTGACTTATTTACATTTTTTCATTTTACAGTCAAAACCTACAGTTAATTTGATAAAGCAAAACAAAAAGGAATTGTAGCCTGGGAGAAAATTTTAAAAACATTTTATTGATCCCAAAGGGAGAGGAAATGTTATATTAACTAAGTTTTCTTCAGAGTTATTGTTGACGATGATAGCTGTGGGCACAATGAATCTATCTGCCGTAGCAGTTTGTATTACAGTGAATTTGAAAAAGCCTCTGACTGAAGACACTGTTTTTCTTTTGAAGTCTCATGAAGAGTATGGTAAGAGTTGTTTCTAATTCTAGTGGTTTTATGCAAAATCATTTTTTTGCACCATCATCTCTAATTGTTCCACAGTAATCCCCAGAACAGAACCTGATGTGATTGATGGTTTTAAAAAAAATAATCCTACAAATAAAAAGTCTGAAATGTGTGGCATGCTTTAATGTTCATCCCAAATGAGTCAATCACATGTCTCTGCCAGCTTCACAAAACTCTTCTTTGCAAAAAAAAAAAAAAAGGTCAAATTTAGTCAGATTGGGGAGAATCAATGATTTAATAAAGAAGTCAATTCTTTATTTGAATTAGATCTGTACTTTGACTGGGCCAATCTTAACACATTAACATGCTGTGGTTTAACCCAGCCTGGAACAAGTTTTCTTCCAGGACTTTTTGATCTCCATCCATCTTCTGAATATCCTCTCTGTCCCTGCTGAAGATGCCGCCTCATGTTTCACCTTCAGGGCAGTGGTAGGTTTCTGCCACATTACCATAATGCATTGCATGTTGGCCAGATTTCATTTAGCTCTCAGCCGATGAGAGCATCTTTTATTTTCCCACGGTTGCTACATGGTATGTGGAAAAGGGATTTTCACGATGCTGTTAATTTTCCAAGCCTTCATGGATCAGCTATATTTATTCAAAAGTTTTCAAAATGAAGCAACTGTTATTTATGGGTCTTTGATTACTTGGAAGTGATTATAAATCTTATGAAAAACTTTTCCCTCCACTGTAATTATGAGCTATTTTGTGTCGATATATCAATTAAACCGCAAATAAAATAAACTGGAGTTCGTGGTTCAGGTTCAAAGGTTGTGATTTTTGTCAGTGTCGTACACTAGATGGCGTTATTGCGTCGTTACGTAAACTAAGTGAATGTGACATAATTTGGTTTTGAGTGGTTAGGTCTCCAAAAGGCATTTTGATAATCCTTTAATAATGGGTCTAGTTTGGGGGAAAAAAATCTGCAAAGATTCTTCTGGAGTTCTACGAGCGAGTTTTGTTTAATTTAGGAAAAAAAAAGAAGAAGAAGGAGGAAAGGGGAAGTTTTTCCATGTGGGAAAAACTATATCATGGAAATATGCGCGAAAAGAAACCAGAGTCCAAACAACAAGCTGTAAAACTTCAGGGGCCAAATGTTTCAGCAGCCTCCATGCGGGGACTTTGGAAAGTAACAAACATTTTCTTGGAATAAGGTTTTGCATGTAGACTAAAAGAAACAAGAATAAATGTGTTTGCGAGTCTTTTGGATGGGGATCAAAACACAGAGTTGCATATTTTCTTTGCTTTATGACCTTTTTTAAAGAAGTTGATGTGTGTGTGTGTGTGTGTGTGTGTGGTGTGGTGGGTGTGTGTGTGTGTGTGTGGGGGGGGGGGGGGGGGGGGGGGGGTGTGTGTGCAGCGCAGCGGGCCGGAGCTGTGGCAGTGTTGAATTTCATGGCCTGGTGAAGGTGGAGCTTGTGGAGCTTCCAGCCTGCAGGAACACAACAGAACCCAGCTGCAGCTTCGCAAAATCTTCAGTGTTTTAACAACCGATGTGCACAAACACCACCACCTCTGACGGAGACACACATCTGCTGCAAGCACCGAGGAGAAGATGCGCCTCGATATGAATCTCCTGCAGAGTAAGTTCCTTGATTGTTTTTTTTTAAATGTTCACTTTTTATTATTCTTATTCTTGTAGAACTTGAAAAAAGTCACAAAGGAATGTTTGTTGTAATTGGATCCAGGTTATGAAGGGGGGGAAGCATATCCAGCTGACTAGATCCACTTAAACCTAAACAATAGAGATTAAGTCATAAAATCTAAGATAAGTGGGTCGTTACACTGATGACAGCAGCAGCACAGAGGGCCACATGTGAACTTGTGTTTTGTGGTTTACAATATGCTGGTTAGAGGAGCAGAAAATGATACACTGAGGTGTTTTTTCTCCCAGGACGGTCAGATCAGCTCAGAGGAAACCATGTTTTACTGTGTCCATCCAGAAACCCGTCATGTTTTATGCTTGCTTGGTAACTAATATAATAAACCCCCAACAAACATCTAATGTTAAACTGTCAGCCTTAATACTTTTTAGATACACTAACTTTTTATGCAAGTTTCTCTCTTTTAGATTCAATCAATAGTTGCTTCTTGCCTTTTTTTGTGCTTTTTTTGTGCTTTTGTTGCAGTTTTGCTGGTGACATTTTTTCGTTTCTTTTGCTGTTTTTCTAACAGAGAAATTAGGGAGTTGTTACACTGAGAAAAGGGAGTTGTATCCTGCATTCTATAATGCAGGATAGAAATTAAACAAAATCAAAATGTTTTTTCTGTATAATTCATTATAAACAAACTGGGTTTTTAACTTTTACTGCCACCTCACCTCATGAGGAATCAGGAACTGTACTGTAATTGTGTGTAAAATGAGAGCTTTCTCAATTATATACTTGAGAAATATATAATAAAACTTCATTAAGTTATTAAAATAGTTCCTAAGTTATTTAGTTAACTTTCTGGTGTTGTTTTTCATTTTTTAAATCTCAAATATAACTTTCCGAAATTTGCAGACACTCTAACTCTAAAGTATGTATTTATGTCTCAGGAAACAAACTCTTTTCAGTTTTTTTTGTGTTCTGAATAAAAAAGATTGAGTGTTTTACTCGTAAAACATAAACTTCAGCCTTCAGGATGGCTGTTAGGCTGCGTCTGACTCTGTCCTGCTTTTGCACTTCTGCAGTGATCTGAATGTTTTTTTTTTATGGCTTCAGCCCAATGTGTTTCCAGTTAGCTGCGGTCTAAGAGCAGGAGTCAGCACAATCCAGCAGCCAGTCATTATATGTGTCAGTAATGAGTGTTTTCACCGCGACTGGGTCGCTTTGGGTCCAGGGCAACGTGGAGCAGGAGGAGGGGGATTCATCCGCAGCATGTTTATGATGGTCGGGTCTGTTTTAATGATCGGCCACAAACAGCAGAGCAGCATGGAAAACATGAGAACTGCTGTTTTGATTTGGACTGTAGCTGCAGGCAGCCAGTCATTGGAGGCAGAAAATGACAGGGAAAGAAGAATAAGTGTGTTTAGACTCTGAGGAGACCGGTCACCCTTCATCCCACTCCGTCCAGCTTAAAGTGGCCCACACATCACAATGTTATTAAATAGTGCATTTATTTTTATAGGTTTGACTCAGGTGTTGCACCTTATGAAAAACAACATGCAAGACCACTAAAATATTAAGTTCAAAAATCTGAATATTGTTGAAAAGTTCATTTATTTTAGCAAATTCATCACAAAGATAAACACATTATATTGATTAATTACACAGAATTAAACATTTAAAATGATTTTTTATTGTTAATTTGTGATGATTTTCCACGTACGGCTAATACAAATCTGACTTTTAAAATTAAAACATTACATTAGACCAATAAAAGAATATATTTAAAAAAAACATAAATGTGGACTTAATGAAACAAAGGTTAAATACCTGCTTTAAGGTTATTTTACAAGATAGATTAATATTGAATCTGAAATGAGATTCATTGGGACTTAAAATTAATAGCCTGCTTAAAATGATCTGTTTCTCTAATTTTAAATTTTTATAGGTATATGTTTTGGTAAAATAAACATTGTTCTTTGATTTCATATTTTATTTTCTTAGTATTTATTTTCAGAAAATGAGAAATGGACAAAATAAGAAAAAAGATGAGGTGCTTTCAGACCTCAAATAATGCAAATAAAATTAGTTTATTTTAATTTAGAAACAACAATACTGATGTTTTAACTCAGGAAGAGTTCAGAAATCAATGTTTGGTGGAATTACCAGGAGGATTTCATGTGTAATTTATTGAATATGACTGTATTATGTTATGGCATACACAGTAATGCAAAAACACACATCAGACACAGAAAAAAAGAGTAATTGCATAAAAAGTCGCCTGCTCACAAAATGTTGTGTCCAAGCAGGTTGATGGAAAGTTAAGTGGAAGAAAAAAGTGCACTACACACGTAACTTCAACCTCAAGAGATTTGTGAAGCAAAGACAACTCAAGAGTTACATGGAGAATAAAAAATATGCTTTATTGTAATTATCAGAGGAACTGAATCAACACTTAGCTATCAGGCATAAGTAAACACTTGAGATATATCGCTTTTTATTTTTAAATATAATTGTTGAAATAAAAGAAGTTTTAAAGACATTCAGATCTATGTAGATGCCTTGTTTTCAGGTAGAAATGCTTTAATAAAGCTAACCTTAAATGCCATTTCTAAAACTCATCTCTGTCCTCAGTTGACTAACCGTGTCTCAGTTTGTGCTTGAACGTCTAGCTGACTGTGCAGACGAACATTTGTCACTCTTAAACTTGTGACCACATGATGAGTCACCCACACACTCACACAACTCACGAATGACAACAATTCTGCTTACAGATCAAATTTATTTTTACAAGTTCACTTTTCTTTACCTGACAGGATTCTCCTTCGGCTTCTTGCAGCTTGAATGACATCAGCCATTGGCTTAATATCTGTTATTATCTCTGGTAATTCAGTAGCACGTAGTTAAGCCCTAAAACAGTCTGATGAGTCAATGCCAGTGTTTTATAAGAGACAATTACAGGGGCTGAGGCACTTTTGTTTCAACATCTGCATGAAAGTACGCTTCAGTGAAAGAAAATAAGCCAGTAAAGTTTTCCAGGATGTGGTGTTTAATGTAGGGTCTGTGCGGCTTGCAGATCAGATTTTTACATTTTAAAAATGTCATGAAAAAGTCCCAGAGTTTTATGAGCTGTTCCTGCAGCATCTTACAAGTTTTTTTGTGCTATTTGTAGCTCTAAAAACACATGTGGGATCATTTTTGTTTCAAATATGTGACAACATGAGACCTGGATATTAGGGCGCACCGATTTGTTGGGCAGCCGATTTATCGGTGCAGATTTTTTTAACTTTAGGAGATCGGTGATTGACCAGTTTTACATGTGAAGCCAATCTTATCTACTTTGGCAAAGGACTAAAAATTAACCACTGTCCTGATTTGCTCTCCAGTGAGAAACAAGCTTCACTGACAGACCGGCCCACCACGTCATGTCTGCAAGATTACAGTTAAAAATTGTCACTTCATTGTTGCCAATTCAGCAACTTTCTTACTATAATGAGCAAAATTCCAGATGAATAAAATCGTCCAAAATTGGACTTGGCAGGTTAAGTTTCTTCAAAGATTGGTAATCGGCGATCAATGTCAATGTCAAATTTATTTAAATAGCACTTTAAAAACAGGTTTAAAACTGCACCAAAGTGCTGCACAGAGATGATAATAAAATAAAATGAAGAAAATAAAAATAAAATTTAGAATGCAAAACATAATACTTTACTGTAATCGCTGTGACTGCTAAAATGTTGCAAAATTTGGATTTTTATACTTTATTCATTTTTCCAACTTATAAAAAAAGCTGGTTGCCACTTTTATATGTTGTACCCTACAATAAAAAGCTAAATTCCACATAATAACTGTGTTTGTAATTTATTCTCCAGAAATGTTGCTTTCCAAATATTTTCTTGTCAGTTAGAGAAAAATCGCAGCCTGTTGACAGGAAGTGGGAGAGGTGCATGTGTCACTCTATGCATCATACAGCCAGCTAAGGACTCTGGGATTTTTTTCTAGCAACACAATAAAAATAGTTTGTGTTGTAGGAAAAAAATGGGTCAGCAGTTTTTATCAGACTGATTCTGTTTTTTCCCCCCCGTTTCATGTAAAGAAAAATGCTTATGACGCAACAGATTCTGTCATTTTTCCAAAAAAATCTTCAACTATTGTGAAATATTCACATAATAGAGTTTGAACTATTTATGTTCGAACTCTCTGCTGGCTCGGTGTTTTCATTGGAGGTCCAGAGGAAACGCAGGTGTCTGGTCAGGTTCCTGGACGTCGGAAAACAGGCTGTGGGTTGAGTGAGAGCCTCTGCAGGATCACAGCCCTGCAGAAAGCCATCAGCTGTGAATAGAGGCTCTGTGTGCGCTGGCAGCATCCACCTCCACTGGCCTTTCAGTAAACATACAGCCAAAAAGCACCGAGTTTTTAGAAATAGCAAGTGAGCCGTAGGAAAGTCACCAGAAGAAGAAAAGACAAACAAGAAAATTTTCCAGGGTATATTGTAAGTATTTTTTTTTCTGAGTGACTCCACTTTGGGATTTTAGTTTCACCCTGTTGTTTTGTTGGGTTTTGTTTTGTTTTTTTACATTTTGTGACTTTGAACTGAACCCACATCTGCTGAATCTGAAGGTTTGTCTGTCTTGGCAGAGCAGATCAAAGTCCAAAAGCATTTCTGCAGCTTTAAGGATGACAGAGTCTGACACAAAGTGGTGAAAAAGTATCCGCTCCTTTAAAAAATATCTCTATTTTTTATGTTTTTGGATCATAAATTCTAATATCAGTCAAAGATAAGTTGAGTACAAACAAAAAACAGTTGTCAAATCTAGGTTTTATTTATTAGTATATTATGTTATCAAACCTTTTTTGTGGATTTAAATTTAACTGCAACTCTGTGGCCTGAATCCAACATCGAACATGAGGCTAAAATGTATCAAACAGCAACTGATATTCAAGATCTATTGGAAAAAATGTAGTGAACTGGTCTATTTGAAGACACTGGAATGATGCAGCCATTTTGAAGCACTCATGTTTCGGGTATTAGAGACTGAAGTATAGAAATTGGCGGTGGTTTGCCCAGGGCGCCAAACAGATCAGGACCGCCTCTGTTTCTAAGATGCCGTTACTCCAATAAGCCACACTGAGGGAAAAGGCCGACCCAAAAGAACCCAGAACATTTTAATAAAAGCATCAGAATCTAACCACCATGTCTTTTTTTTCCCCTTCAGTTCTTGCTGTGGTCTTCCTGCCACAAGGTAAAATATTCATCCTTCTGAGCAATGTCTTCATGAAAGACGAATTTCTAATGAATTTATGTAAATGTGTCAATGCGTTTTGTCAGCTTGGGGTCAAAGCAGCAGCAGGCCTGCTGTGGTGGAGGCCAAGAACATCACCCTCCCTGCAGGCTCCAAGGCCGTCCTGCCCTGCCACAGCCCTCGCATGGTGTGGACCCAGGACAGGCTGAAGGACCGTCAGAGGGTGGTCCACTGGGACGTCGTCCACAGCAGCCCTGAATATTCAGTGGAGCGGGTTTTGGACATGTCGCCTGGAGCTCGGCAGAGGGTTTACAACGGCTTCAATAAGGGCCGCGTCTCCATCCCGGACTCGGCTTTCACCGATGGAAACTTCTCGCTCGTCATCAACAGTGAGGCTGTTTTGGTTTTCTGTTGCGCTACACTGCCTTGTAAAACTTTTAACAACCACTTAATTTTTTATGTTCACAATCACAAACTTCAATGTGAAATGTGGAGAATTGCTGGGTTTTTTTTATTATCTCAAAAACTCTGTTTTGCAACTTTGCTGCAAAGATACAACATTTTACCAAATATTTTTGGTCTAGTTTCAAGTGCAAATATCTTAGTCCACTTCAAATAAGACAAATTTAACATAAGTAATTTTTTAGCAAGCAATAGAGACTTGTTTAATATCAGTGATTCCTTATTATTGATGTTCCAATGTCAGATTATGTCACTGGTTACAAGACATTTTTTCCCATGTTACAAGTTAATTTATCTGCCAATATAAATAGTAAGGAATTACCTATTAAAACAAACTCCTATTTCTTGATGAAAAGTTGCATTTAAGTTGATTTGTATCAAGATATTTGCACTACAAACTAGACAAAATTACTTGGTAAGATTTTGCAGTGCACAATGTTCTGTTTATTCAGTCAGTAATTAATACATCTGACACAAAACAGTGCTAAAACTGAATGATGTCATTTTTTAAAATTCAGCATATTATGAAGATTTTAGCCATTTATGATATGGAAAGACATTTTGCCCTCTTCATACAGGAAAAAACTGTGGGTTTTAAGAAAATAGCCGCTTATCAATTAATCATCAGTCAATTGATAAGATCAACCAAAGTTAAAAAATGTTTAAAGTTGACAGGAAATTTGGAAAATAATTATATTATTACCTAAACCGAACCACCAACTATAGAGTACTAAAAGAGGCAAACGTTAAAACCTAAATTAAATAGATAAACAATGTTTAGCCTGGTGGGATTGCAAGTAAAGCCTGGTAGCCCTCCAGGCTTATAATAGAGGGAAACCTTGGTTGAGTGTTTTTAAAATTATTTTTGTCTTTCAGATGTTGTAAACACAGACAAAGGAGTTTATACTTGCAACTTGCACCACCACTACTGTCAGATTCACGAGTCCATTCAGATCCAGCTCAACGTCACCAAGTCGGGTGAGGCCCTCAGGCTGTGAGGCAGAATAATTCAAACTATCAGCTGAGATTCATAATGAGGGGGTTTTTGCAGCTCGGAAAGAGAAGCGCTACTGGGACGGAGAGAAGACGGTGTTGGTGGTGCTGCTGGGCAGCTCCATTGTGCTGCCCTGTGTGAACCGCCGGGCCCTCTGGAGAGACGGCCTCCAGGAGGACCAGCAACAGGTGGCGCACTGGGACTTCCAGCCCCCCGGGGTGCGTCCCAACAAGGCTGACCGACTGGTGGACCTCTACGCCTCCGGAGAGCGACGGGATTACGGGCCTTTGTTTGCCCAGAGCAAGATGAGCGTGGCGGAGGACGCGTTCACGTACGGCGACTTCTCACTGTCCATCTCTGACCTGATGCCTGAGGATAAAGGCCTCTATTCCTGCCACCTGCACCACCATTACTGCGGTCTGCACGAGAGGCGAATCTTCAGGCTGACCGTGGGACCTTCACTACCGCGTGAACCCACAACGCCTCCGAGAATCTTCTTGAACGATGAGCTGGAACCAAGTGAGTGAGTCAGGCTTAAGAAAGTCTGACCAGAGGTTTGTTTTTCGGTCATCTTCTGCTGCTGTTTTCCTCTCTTGGCTTCCAGGTGATATTGTGGACAGAGGGAGTGGATTGCTCTGGGTGTTTTTCATATTTACAGGCATAGTTGGTCAGTTAACTCAGACTCTGCTCCTGCCAAGTTTCTCCTTAGTCCTCCCTGTTTTTCTGCTGGAGCAGAAGAAGGAGGAGGTTCTAGAGAAGGAATGCAGAGGCCAGTCGAGTGAGAAAGAAATGAAGAGGTGAAAGGAAAAGAAGGCAAATCTTTCCAAAGCTTAATGACCACTGATGTGGGATTTTTTTTAATCAGGTTTTTTTTTTGCCTTTCTTTCTTCAGAAGCTTTAAACCGCCTGGAGCGGAAGTGGGGTAATTTTCCCCACCAACAGTTTTATAGTTTACAACGCTTTGTGTAGCTTCACACATTTTAACTGCACTTACTTGAAGAAGCAGACCAGAAAAAGTGCTGAAATGTTGTTGTTAGGGTGGGGACGTCTTGCCTTTTGTTCCTCTTTAACCTAATTTTCCAGAAAGTCCCGGCCCTCAGTCTAGACCAGTGCGGTATCGGCTCTGCTGTTTATTTTTTCTCAAGCAGCCTCTGCTGATGTGCATCGGCGTCTGGCAGGGCCATGTTTACGCGCAGTCAGAGGAAGTCCATCTACATCTGTTCAACATCTGGGCCAGCTGTTACATGAAAGCACAAAGCGAGGCTGAATGCATGTAGGACTATAGATTCTCCTCCCCTCTTCAATAGCTGCCAGCCTGTTTAATAACTGTATAAATCACGCTGAGATGAAAAGAAATGCACACGTGGAGCCGTGGGATCCGAGTTTGTACACTGTGTTCAGCCTCTCTTCCCACACCGTCGATCTAATCTCGAACGGTTTGCTCTCTCCCAGGTATCAGAGCGTTTTTTTTTAAAATCGGAAATGACAAATGTCACGAGAGCTTTTCTTTTTCACGCTGCAATCGCTCATGTCAAGTACAAACCGACTGCGTCCTCCTTGTCACAAAGAAAACATTTTGCAAGCAGTCAACAATTCAGCTCAAATCTCAGATGCTTTTCTTCGGTTCATTGACTTGCAGATGATTCATGGCCCGCTGAGCAAAAGAAAACAACATAAAAAACAAAAGAGAGAGAGAGTTTCTGTGAGCAGCATATGTGAAATCGCCTTTGACGCGAACAGACTCGTCTTATCTGTCAGGATGATGTTAATGGGCGGCTCCGGCTCTCTGCAGGTCAGTTGTACTCCAGAGAGACACTGACCTCAGACTTGTCTCCATTTGCATGCATATTAGGTACATTATGCAGTGACAGCTGATAATTAGCGCCAACAGTGGGTGGTGGAGGTGTTTTTTTTTTTTTTTTTTTTCTGGTTTTAGGAAGCCATCTTTCTAATCAGTTACGCCATCTTTCTAGTTTCAAAGAAAGAAAAAAAAAAACCTTTCTTCTCCACCTGTATGATTTGCTTTCATCCCAAAACCAAAGTTGTCTTCATCCTGTTGCCTGTTTGCTGCCCAGCATTGAGCTGAATTATTTATTTTCCACTCACGCAGCAGCTGGTTTTCTGGATGTTTGCGAGAAGACTTAAAAATGGCTGTGAATGGAAAACTAATGCAGACACGCAGGCCGACCACATTACTGAAATTGCCTCGGCTTCCTCACATTTCTCCTCTTTTCTGGTCAGTCTGTTTTTACTGTGAAGAAGAAAAAATAACAGCTGCATGACACCGGGCCTGGAAGCCATTACACCGTTCTGACATTTAACTCTCTGCTTTCCCCCTTTGCTCTGGAGGGAACAAAAACTATTCGATGCATTTTCTTTCCAAAGGTATTCAGACCTTTAAACCTTTTTACCTCTAAGAAAATATTTCATAGAGTCACATTTAGCTTTTGTTACAGCCGCAGGTTTCCAGGGTGTCTTTACAAGCTTTGCACATCTGGACTGGAATATTTGCTCATTTTTCTTTGCACAATAGCTAAACCTAAATCTTATGTTTTTAATTGGATTTAGCTCTGTGTTGACTGAGTCTAGCACCTGAATGTGCTTTGATTTTAAAGTATTTAAAAGTCTTACTATTACATCTCTGCATCAGTCTCAAGGTTTTTGTTTGTCTTTTTTTTAAATGGTTTTGTGTGTTGCTTCTTCCATCATCAGTGTTGAAAAGCTTCCCTTGCTTTTATCTGCTGGAGAAAAGCATTCCCCAAGCATAATGCTGCTTCCACCATGTTTGAATGTTATGCTCATGATTATAACCAGCTCTAGTTTCTGCCACAAATAACATTTTGCACATATTTCACTTGCAGTATTATCTGGGCAGAGCTCTTTCTTCCTTCTCTTATGCTAACTGTATTTATTAAGTAGGTGGCATTTAAAGGAAATTTAAAGGTGCTGGATTTTATTTATGGGCATCAGAATATAAAGGCACGCCGCACATTTCAGAATTTTTTGTTGGCTAAAAATCTTTTAAAACCATTTTTCTTCCATTTCACAATTATGCAACCGTTTGTTTTGGTCTGTCAAATAAAATCCTGATGATTTATGAATGCATTAGAGTTTGAGCTGTGCTAACAGTAAATTGTTATCTCTTCACTTAAAGTTGCATCACTTTTCCTGAAGGTCCTTGTTTGATTTTTTCTAATAACTTTTTCTGCCTCCAGAGATGGAGGAGGTTTCAGAGGACAGCCCCCGTGTGGTAAACGTCTTCCTCCCTGAACAACGGGGTTATTTCGTGCAGCACCTGGGCTACTTCCTGGCAACCTTCCTGCTACTGGCTTTGATTGTCATCGCTGTCATCGTGTTGACTAGGCGAAGGAAAAAGAGAGGTAATCTGTTTTTTAGCTGCAGTCTTTCATTGATGTTTCATCTGAATATTTTGTGTATTTTCATTCTGATCACTGGTTGCTTGTTTCAGGGTTGGAGTATGAAATGGGCAGATCTGTTGGGTAAGACGTGATTCTTTACTAAATACTAAAATATTCTCCTTTTTACGTTATGCTAATAAGAGTGCTGGAGTACTCACTTCTAACCCAGAAAAGGAATTAGATTAGTCACTCTCTAGCTTATTTTTTAGAAACTGTAGAGTGCTCACTATTTAGACCAATAGAAATGGAATTAGATACTTGTCAGCCTGAACAAGAACACCTAGTTTATACACTTTTAGATCAACATTAGATTATTCTGGTTGCATTTCCTTTTAATTCCCATAAAGGTGCTAGATAAATAAAATTTCCTTACCTTATGTGTGTGCAGGGGGACTATAATCAGTGAAGGTGAGATGACATTAGACTGCACAGAGATGAGGACTTACAACCAAGACACCTTGAATTCAGGTACACTGAACCTAATTTATCCTCAAGCAGCAAATGCTCTTCTGGCTACTAATGAGCTTTTTTTGTTGTCTGGTTACCCATGTGTTTTCTCCCGACTCCACAGAATTCAAAAACAACCTACTGAAAGAAAGAGATATGGTGAAAGAGTGCAATAAGGGTGAGACATTCTTTGATGCAAGTGCAGGAAAACGCAAGCAGACAGCTAAAGCTGAAGACTGTCCTCTTTCTCTTGCAGAATTCGATGGGAAGATGTGGAAGTGAGCGAGGCATTTCTAAGATGCTGCTGGCAGGTCCAGGGCAAACACCGGCGGCGCAAAGAACGACGGAGAGAAAGAAGGAAAAATAAATAATAATGTTCACAGGAAATCCAGGAGAAAACACAGGAGGATTACTCCCTCTGCTGTAACAAGAGCAAACAAAGCTTTTCCACTTTTAAAGGCTTTACTCTTTCTTTTTTACCCCTTTTTTTCTTCTGCATGTACAGCTTGCATTTTGATCAACAAAACTACATAATTAGTTATATTTTGTCCACATTTGTTTATTTCAGTTATTTTTGTTTAAAAGCATTCAGTTTGTTGCAATATGTGCCATGCATGCTACAGATCACTCTTTTTTTATTTTCTAATTTTTTTTACTTTCAATCTTTTACAGAAATTCACTTATACTGTAATATGTAAACTATACAATACAATGCAATTCAGTCTTGTTTATAAAGCACGTTAAAATAACACTATTGGGAAAAGTGCTGTACACCAAAACAAATAAAACGGACATAAAAACAAACCAACAATTAAAACATCAAAGCTGATACCTCAACTTTATGATTGAGGCACATGTATAAGTGATATGGGCAGAATGGTTCTCAGCCCAGGGTGGTATCTAGTTGGGAGTTTTTAATGCTTATTTGCTTGTCCAGTCCACTGGGGAGTGAGCGCCCCCCAGTGTTGGGAAGGCAAAAAACGTTCACCTCCAGAAGCCTAAGTCGACCACAGCACATATTTCTTCCAAATGACGAAGTTTACTTTATTTAATGTGCTGATCTAGCTTCACATCTGACTCTTTTGGTTGTTATAATTCACAAATATGTCCAGGATCAGGGTGAGTTAGCTCAGTTCTGACTCCGACATGGCAATGTTTTGAGATTGAGCTGCAGATTATAGCCTGCAAACTCATTTTGTGGAAGGTAAAATATATTAGCTGCTAAAACTTGGAGGTTATTGGGAAGTTGCAGTTCATGACTGATAAGGTAAGCGATAAAAAGTCATATTTAACGTCATACAGCCCGTTTAATAATGCAAATGTCGTAAAGATTCCTCACAAATATTTCCGAATTAGCACCACAAAATCTGTGATTTTGATTTCAAAATAACAAAAAAGCAATCAGAAAATAGTAAAGGAACAGCTAATTATTAATATTTTAACAGTTTAATGGGATTTATCAATACATTCTGGCACAAATATTTAACTTCAATTTCAACATGAAGTTTGTAGAGGAGGGTTTGTGTGCACATGGCGAAGCTCATCCAGGTATTTCTATTTCATTTAATGAACAAATAAAAAACCCAAACTTATTTTCTTCCAACTTCCAATTTAAAAGTGTTTCCTTAAAAGAAAAGTTCATTTATTTCCAACTAACGGTGATCCGAACTGAGGGCTCAGTCAGTGGAAACTCAGGAAATATCTGAATATCACAGTAAAAGATTAAATTGGGGACTTGAAGATGTCATGACCTGGTTAGTACATCACTGATTTTATTAAGGTAACCTGCATGTCAAGCTTACATTTACTATGAACTGTGTAGCTTCTGTCAGGTTTTTGTGTGTGTTATTGTAAATCACAAGCGATAGCCCAGTCTGTCAATTATTTCAGTGCCTGTTTCTCTGAAATAAAGATTTTTTCTCATTACAATTATTTTATTTGGATTAATTAACAGAGTTTGGAAAAAGGTGTAACTCTGGTCTAAAGATAAATGATCAAATCTAACGCTTTGGTCATTGAAATGCATTTAAAATGTTAAAAATCTGATCTATTTTATTCTCATAGAATATTTTGCTTCATTACACACACACATATATATAATCCTTATTTTATTTCATTTTTAAATTGTGATGATTTTATATCAATAAAATTCCAAATACTTTTTTTTCTCAGTTTTTCAAAATGTTTTCTAAAAAATATTGATTTCAAAATTGTACTTAAGAATTTTAATTTGAACTAAAAATATAAAATTTTATCAAAATTTTAATTAAAATTAATACAAAAAATCAATTAAAATTAAAAATTTACTTTTTTTAAAACAAAAATTAATGATAATACTGACTTTCAAATTAAGAAACATTATGTTATGGACTACATAATCATGGGAAGACTATTAATTTGAAAATATTCCAACAGCTACTGACAAAAAAGGATAAGCAGCAAAATTGAAAGTTGAGTGAAAGGAAAAAAGTGAGGTGGACAAAGACTCAGAAGCAAAAGCAAAGCCCATCTGCTGAATCTGGAGAAGATTTGTAAGGCGTAAACTGTGGCCGGAGTCAGTTCTTCCAGAGAAACGTCCCTGCAGGGAAACATCCAGGACGTGGATTTGAACGGTGACAATCATTGAGCTGCTTCTGAATCAGAAACATCGTTGGAACCGTCTGACCTGGGGTAAGGAGGAAAATGAGATTAAAGGGAATTTCTCATTTCATTTGTTCCATTAAGTTTTGGGAGCCGTGTTAGTTCATGTGTTGACTCATTGAGTTTTATCAAGTCCAAAGTCAGCACTGCTATCGACTGGCACATTTTAGGCAGGAAAGCTTCATGGAGATTCTAATATCTAAACAACCAGTAACTGGTTTGACTGGGTAAACTGGCCTGAGTCCCACAGAGAACCTAGAGTATTGTCCAGAGGAAGATAATCTGAGCTACACTAATATCTTAGTAGTTTTATCTGTAAGAAAAAACACATTATATAGATCATTTATACACAGGTGGATGTTTCAAAGCCATTGTTTCTGTTAACTGTCCATTTACAGCCAATGAAAACATGACATTTAAAATATACCATTAAAAAAATTAAAATGAAAAGCATGTCTAATTTTAATGTGACTCATACTCATATAATACATATTTGAGATTGTTAAATATAACATTTCACAGTAGGCTGAGATGAATGCATTAGAAGTACTTGTTTGGTCATATAAAATATTGAGATTTTCTCAGAAACTGGATTTTTGGTTTGTTTTGGTTTGGCTGTGAGCCATAATAATCTTAATCAGACTTTTTGATAACTGTAAAGTTAAAAGTATTCATGGGCCACAAAAATTGTATCTGCTTTGTAATAAAAATTTAAAAAACAATTATTTTTGTAAAATCAAACTAATAGCTTTAAGAAATGTACTAGCCTGATTTCTTTGCAGGAATCTTCTCCAAATCATTTTAGATATATTCTAGGCTACAAGAACATGATATAAATGAGTCCCTCCTTAAGAAAAAAACAACCAATTGTAACCTGTATTTAATACTTTTGAGTAAAAGTAAAATATATTATGTACTGTCATATTATGTAAAATTTAAAGAAAAACAGTCTTTTAAATATTTCTAGTTTAAGATTATTTAAATTTGTTTGATCCTTTTTAATCAGAGAAATTTTCACTTTAATTTGCTTTAAGCAGAACAATCTGCTGAAATAAATTTGCAATATCTCCTCATCTAAATTAACAGGAATAAAATCACTTTCTATCATTTCAGTTTGACTAAAAACAAATGCATTTATAAAATGTATTATCTATTGTGATGCATCTTTATTTTTGATGTTATAAAATTGAATAACACGATGCGCCTAGAGCTTATTTGCGCGTTATTAGACCGTTTCTTTGTTTCCTGTGCAGTGGGGTGAGGGGGTTGTGTAAGACGCAGCTCAGACTCGCCACTAGATGGCAGCACTGCCTAACCAATTAGAAAAATAGCAATATTCCCAACTCCATATCGCAAGGATGTGGACTGTCCCTTCCTGTTTTAGTGCCGAGAGAGCCACCGTAGCGCCTCAGACAGCAGCAGGAATACAGGCACCCACAACGCGATTATGTCCGGATTTTCGCCGCGTTCGTCGGGCACACGGAGCCGCAGTGCGCGCCGCGGGCTGCGCCGCTTTCGCTGTTAGGGGACGCGGTTACGCTGTTCTCCCGGTAGCTGGTAACATAGCAGGCCTGTTTATTGCGCTGCCAACCCTTGTTCCTTTCCTGTGTCAATGATTGTCCTCCCCTCAGTCTCTCATGGCGGAGACTAAAATAATATATCACATAGACGAGGAGGAGACTCCTTATCTGGTCAAGCTGTCTGTTCCTCCGGAGAAAGTCACTTTAGCGGATTTTAAAAATGTCCTCAACAACCGACCCGTCAATAGCTACAAATTCTTCTTTAAATCCATGGACCAGGATTTTGGGTAAGTGGCCGGTCGTTATTATAATTATTTGATGTTTTCTTTTCATTATTAGCCAGCTCGGGCTGCTGGTTCCCAGGGCCCAGATAGATGGAACATGAATCGAGTCGGGCTGCAGCCTCGTTACCTGCGTGTAAATTGCAGTTGCATGTCTGTCTCCGTGCTCCTGGCACCTGCTCATTATTCCAGGCTGCCCTGCGCTCAGCGGAGGAGGCACACGACTTGTTTGAAGTGATACCAGATCCGTCCGGAGCCCTAATGACGCAGCCCTGCACGGATTACACACACAGACAGACTAGACCAGACCAGACCAGACCAGAACCCCCTGCTCCTCATTATTAGTGACAATATCCCGACCAGCTGCAGCAGCATGAGGGTCTGACAAAAGGTTCATGCCCAAGTTCTCAGGTTTCAAAATATTTGGCCTTTCTTTCACTTTCCCCTCCGCGGTTTAGTCACAGCATGTGGAGTTTTTTTTAAATTTTTTTATTTTTCCATTAGTCTGCTTAACTCATTAGGGCTATCATAGGAATTAATATGTACAGCAGGTGAATCCTGTGAATAACAACCCTCAAACTTCCCAAAGCCTTCTTCTAAACAAACCAATGAATATAAATTAGTAATGCGCGGATTAAGCCTGGCTCTTTACCGATTCCCGGTTTTCCTTGAGGACTGACTTTCCGATTCTGATTTTCATCGATTCTTCTCACACTATCGCATTCAGTCAGTTGTTAATCAGTATATTTTCTTTTTATGAAAGTTTTTTTTGTCCAATATCTAAGACATTTAAGTGTAAATCAGATTTATAAGTATAAAAACAAAAACGGTGGGAATCGAAAACTCTTTCTAAGCCATCATTTTTATTATTTGAGCTGCAAAACCACACAATTTATGATGTGCAAATTATACATAAGCCCAGGACTACTCATGTGTTCCAGTTTTTCTTTTATTGCCTTTGCTGTTTAGCTAATAACTTTTAAAAAATTAATCTAACTTTGTTCCTTCCTTGTCTACTTTTTAAATAGTTTTCCTGTGATGGAGAAAAAGCTTTTTGAGCTCAGAAACTTTGATTATTATCCCACAGTTTTTTGCATGAGGAATATAAAAAAAAATTGCTCTGCTTACATTTCAAAGTGAGATTAAATTAATGTATTGTGCGATATTTAGCAGAAACGTTGCCCTGTTTTGGTCATGTGTCTTTTTGATAGTGAATATGTTTTATTTTTAGAACAGCAGAGGCTCTTATGCACCGGAAGATTTATATTACAAAAAGTTTGTGATGAATCTTATCACATTTTCCTAATTCTAGTTTAATCTAATAGTTGCTTAATCCTGATCTCTAGTGGTTTTGAAAACATTAGGAAACTACATGATTATCCCCATTTATTCATGAATGTTTACATTGGTTTGATGCAGGAAGAATTAATGTGAAATCTACATATATGAGCTGCTGATTATCAATTAGATCTGATTGGAAAACATTGTGAGACTCCCATGCATCTATAAAAATGCTTGTTTGTTCTTTTCAAGGAAAAACAAAACATTGCTTTACTTGTTTATCCCAGAGTAATAGTGGTTAAATTACACTCAAATTACCATAATGGAGACAAAGTGTTACATTTAATTGCACATAACATGTTTAAATAAGTTCTCTTTTAAAAGAAATATAGCATGTAGAACAGGAATGTTGGCAAAGAATCAGATTAAATCACGTTTGTAATTGGTATGTAGGAACTAAATGATTAGAAGATAAAAGAACAGCAGTGAAATGTTTCAAGCCTTTTTATTAGTGTTCATTCGTTGTTTTAATAAGGAAAAGAGATCTTGCATGAATTGGTTTCATTGTTCAGTTGAAATAAAGACAAATGAATGCTCAGATTAGCAACTTTTATTAGCAATTAGCACAGGTAGCCTGAACAGCTAACTTTATTCACGGTTTCTCTTTTCGAATTGTATCTAAGCTTTCCTGCTTTGCTGACTTTTCTAGAAAACCTCACTAGTACTGAAAGTAGATTCATTTGTGTTTCTTGGAAGAGAAAGATTGAGTATTCTAGTCTGCCGACATCCCGTCAATTTGAATATTGGCTGGATTTTTTAAATTTTTTTCTGTTTTAATTTTATTATAGCATCGGAGCTTCCTTTCTTGTCCTCACCTTGTAACTGTGTCCTGGCTTTCAGGTCTCCAGTTTGTTCAGTCAGCCAGGGGATGAAGTGAGTGTCATATGTGGCCACAGGTCACATTAATATGCAGTGCTGTAATTGTGAGCATAGTTGGAGGAAGTGATTCCACAGAGCCAAACGTCACTTATTTCCACTGGGTTCTGGCCCAACGAGGGAAACTGGCTCTTCCTGGTCGGCGGAGTGCTTTGTCTCCGGCTCTGGCTTCCTGCCTTCTCGCTGCAGGCCGGGCTTCTCACTGGGCTTCTCGCTGGGCCTCAGGTGATCGACAAGCAGATTATGGAAACAAACAAAGCATATTTGCTCACTCCACATGGAGACATGACTCCATTTTCCTGAGCACTTTGCTATGAACGCCAGACGTTCTTGCATGATTGTGCACCAAACGGCATATTTCCACATTGAAACAAACAAACAAAAAAACGCATGTCGACATTCACTGCAGGCTTTGAGTTGAGGGTAAACGTCCAGGCACAGTATAGAAGTGAAGCCAGTCAAAGGCTAAAAGAAAAGCGGCGCTTTGTGGTAGCCATACTGGCTGTGCTGCATCCAGACAGACAGTATGGCTGCCGGAGAATTAGCAACCACAGAATAAGAGTGCAGCACAGAGAGGGAAAATATCAAATCCCCTTGCAGTTATGTTCAGTGTTTGAAATGTAAATGAGCAGTCAGTGCTTGGTCCTCTGTAGTCGACCCCCTGTTGTGCATGCAGAAGGGGGAAAAAAGACAATTTCTTGAAGGCTTTCTGGACTACATTTATCCTCGCCATATCAGCTCTTAAAACGACGGCCAAACAGATTTGGTAAATGTTTTGCACCCTGAGCGTATGTGAGCTCACCACAGAGAACATGGCATTTCAGGTTCCCCAGAATGCATTTCACCACTCGCTACAGCATTTCTATCCACACTTCAGAGAACAGCAACATAAACAATGCACAGATTTCTGTTTAATTTATTTTGATTTTTCACGTTTTCTACGGTTACAATCCTCTTGTTTGTCAGGACGGATAAAACAGAAAGGAATCACGTTTGGTTTGTAGTGACACATCCCACTCGCCTTTTTTTCCCGGGAACTTCAAGGTGACGTTATGGAGCTTTGGTGAGTGGGTTTGAGACCTCACTATAATTCAAGTCACAGAGACTCTCTGGTACTGAGGAAGCAGCCAAGCTGAAGGTCTGAAAGAAACAGGCTTGTTTGTGACTCAGAAAGTAGAGGGGCTGGCAGGGGGATCTTTCTTTTGCAGAGATTGTGATGCAGAGCTTCTGTAGTTGAAAGGATGAAATTCTGCAGCTTTTCGCTCAGATGTTGTCCTTTATCTCCTCACGTACTTTTACAACCTGACAATTGTGACAAATTTGAAGGCTATGCTGCAGTTTTTTTTGTCATATGGCGTAAAGAGCAACACTTTCACTGTGGTGATGATTTCGTTATAGTGAAATTCATTACCATGAGAGGGAAATGTCGACTAAACTATCACATTTTAGGATTTAGTGCTGTTAACAATGTTATTACAATGAAATCTATAAAATCTAAATGTGAAAGTAGATTGAGGCAGTTCTTAAACAAACGGAAAATGAAGGAAATTGTATCAGTCCTGTATATTCATCATATCTGCTTTTCATCCTGTTAGCATCCAGATTCTCCAGGTCTTCTGGAAAATGTGTTCAGATAAAACCCAAAGTAAGAACAAAAATCTGGGAGCTGTACTGTAATTTTCAGAACAGTTTCACGGAAGACTTGATGATAATAGAGACTATTGTTGTATTTAATAGAAAACTTGAGATTAATCCTTTTAGCTTGACTTTTGGCTAAGCTTTGGTAATTAGGATTAATTATTCATTATGGAGTCTTATGCAAAGTTAATCATTTACTTTATTTCTTTTTGTGACGTATTAATAAAATGTATTGGCGTTGTTTGAATTAAATGTATCTACTTAACTGCCGATTGAGGAAAAATTGTCGGATTATAATCTCTTTGCTCATCTATCGATGCAGATAAACCCAAAATTATTCACGGCCCTGGCAAATTTAGGTTTCAAATTATTTTCTTTCTACCATTAAGTTTTTCTCCAACTGAAAATGACATAATTTAAGCATCCTTTCAAAGAAAGCAGAACAATAATTTTGGAATCATTTTTCAGTTTTTAGTTACTTTTTTCATAAAAATGGCATGCTGAGGTTGGAATGCCACTTAACCATCACCCTAATCTTAACTTCCTCCACATATATATGTATATATATATTTTTTATCATTTTCACTGTCAAACTAAAGGATTGATTTAAACTTTAATCCGCTGTGTTTCTCCACAAAATGGTAATATAAATGGAGATAAGTGTACAACTTAATACAAAAGTGTGAAACTTTTATAACCTGAAGAGGCATGTTTATCTGAACGTTAAAAAAAATACAATTTAAATTTTTGTATAAGTATTTGCTATTTGTAAATTTGTTGTAATTTTTAAAGAACCACAATTTTCTGTTTTTGATCTGTAAATAAAGAAAAATTGAGGTTTGCAAAAGGTGGATTGATGCATTAAACTGTGCATCATGTATTTGTGTGTTTTTAAAAGCACATAATCTCCAAACTCATGACAAAAAAATTAAAAGATCTACAGAAATATTACTTGTGCTTTTACTGCGGTTCTGTTGTGGAAATCCAGTTTATTTATTCCATGTAAAACTTGCACTTGTTTTGATATTTCTATTTGAAAACATGAGTTGCTTCTTTATCATTTTTAGACAAATATTAAGAGCCACAGCGGGAGGTTCAAAGAGCCACTTAAAGCTGCAGAGCCGCGTGTAACAAACTCCTTATCTACTGAGAATGTTTCTAATCCTCCTACCTACAAATATTCAGCTTTCCTGTTTCTGCTCACCTCAGACTGCTGCTGTGTGCTCATTTCTACCTCCTTCTTCTTTTCGGTTCAGGCTCAAAGTTTCCCACCACGTTCTCCTTTCAAATCCCAAACAAACACGCCTTGATCTTCTCCAGCTAGACAAATATCTGCTGCAAAATATTCCCTGATTGTCAGGGTGTAACTTGCGCCATTAACCTGTCAAATCTCCTGAAGCAGTTCAGTGTAATAACTGACTGGCAGCTTCACACCAGACTGCTCCACACGTGGTTTGTTTGTTTTTAGTGCCTGAGCATGTTAGCAGTTCATGAGGGCAACGCAAACCGGTCCTGGTATCAGATGGAAGCTGTTAAAGATGTGATCTGGTACAGATTGAAAACCCAGCAGCTCACTCCTGACAAACAGAAGGAAGGAGCATGACTGCTGTGTTATTTGTACAGACCACTCCCACTTCCTGTCAAGTCACCTTACAGCTGTGGAGAAGAGGATGCAAACACTTCCTAGCCAGCGAGCAGCCGGCCCGGGACGGCCGGGTTCTCGTCTCCCTCCCGTTTCCTCCCTGAGGTGGAACAGGCCACAGCGGCAGAGTCTTCGCTCTGCGGTTTCCACAAGGCTGCGTTATCTCTGCGTTACACACACGTAAAAAAAAACAAAAAAAAACATCTAACTTGGCTAATCATGTCAGTTAGTGGGGAAATTCTGGCAAACATGAAGTGCTGGAGAAAAAAGGAAGCTGTAAAGTCGCTGCCAAAGACACCCCTGTGTAAAATCTTCTTAGGATTTTCTGCTCCTCTCAAGTCGAGCCTCTCCCTTTTTATAAACCCTGCTCAAAGCCAAGGAGCTAATGTGAGATCTCCACAGAGTTTTAGAAACACTTGGTTGTAACAAATCAGGTAAAATCCCAAGAAATAAAACCACATAAAGACATGCAGGAGAGCAATAAGCTGAAAACTGGCAAATGTGTCTCTTCATGCGTTTTCCCCTCTGCCAGCGCGGCAGACCAAGCAGGTGTGGAGTCTTCTCGCTGCTGAACCGTGTCCCAGCAGGTCAAAGGGTAACTGTCAGGTATTTTCGTTGGGAATTTACTGCTGAACGCAGTGAGGGAGCCTCTCACACCGGATGACTCTATTAATACACGCTGCAGCTCCCTGTCACGCTGTCACCGTCGCTCTGACTCATCCATCTGTTCAGATGGATGGATAATTATGCAGCAGCAATTTACAAACAGCAACTGACTGATTACTTATCAGGGATTTCCTCCAATTTCAGCCAAATACAGTTGAAAAAGACATAAATCATATTATTTTCTCGGTGTCTGACATTGATTCCTGTTGCAGCTACGGTTTCATTTAGGTTCCCATAAATCTGGTCTATTTGCTAAATGCTAGAACGATGATGGAGTTCATGTTTTAAAAGAATTGAAATTTAGAAAGGCAATGTGTTTCATTACTGCAGCGGTGTCAAACTCATTTTTGTTGGGCCAAATCAAGATCATGAATGCTCTTAAAGGGCCGGTTGTGCTAGAATGCATTAAAAAACCTGATCACAAACTGTTAAAATATCAATAAATTCTTCAAATTAAATATTACTGACCATATTTTCAGTCCCTCCAGGATTTTATGATTCTTCTTGTGATTTTTTGCAATTAAAACAAAATCTCCTACACCTCCCCTGAGCTACTGAGCTACTCAGGAAAGAGGAGATCAGACCGAGGAGGCGGGTCTTAGCGCTGTCAATCAACCTTTCTAATGCTTTTCAATGTGTTAATGGTGGATAAACATGCTACCATTACAGAAAAAACATTTACACACCATTATCAGTGCCCTTGCTAATCAGGAAGACACTGTAGCATAGCAGAGGGGGACAAGAGGATGGGAAGGCACACACAAGGGTGATTGACAGCCCTAAGATCCGCCTCTTGGCTGTGATTGGTTACTTCTAGTTAGCAACCAAGCTGAGCTTGAATTTTTTCAGATAATCCATCTCATACTACTGTCACAACAGTTTCAACAAATTTGTAAAAAATATATTTTTTAATTACATACTGCAGCTTTAACTAGTAATGGCGTGAAATATCCTTCTTCCAGCCGTTTTAAAAGCTTGGTGAGTGGTTTGGATTCATGTTGCTGATTACATTTATCAAATTTTAGCACCGTCTGTGTGTATCTTTAGCTGTCTGGCCCTTGAAGCTCTTTGTGACTCATGAAAAGCTTTGCAGGTTATCATTTCTGTTTAATGACCTTTCAAACATGATATTTCATCTCACCTCGTTGTGCCTGGTGCAAGCAGGCAAACAAACTGGATGTCCAAGTGTTACTGTTACGGACTCAGAGTGGCACCAGCGCTGCTCTTTAAAGCTCACCGCGACTTAAAGCTGTCAGAGCCATTTTGAAAAATGTGACTGTCAAAGTGTGAATGTGGCTCTGTGATTGCCAGCGCTGTGTGAAAGTTTAGCGCTTCCTGGTTATCTCCAGGCGATTCTGTCTCTCTGCCTGTAACTTGTGTGTCGTCCCGCTCCACAGGGTCGTCAAAGAGGAGATTTCCGACGACAACGCCAAGCTGCCGTGCTTCAACGGGCGGGTGGTGTCCTGGGTAAGTGAGATGGGCGGTGCAGCCTCCCTCTCCCTTTCTGCCTGGATTGCATGTGAAACGCAGATCATTCAGTTGTAGAAATGTTGCACCTCCTTAGAGACTCTTAAAAATTTGGCCTTGCCACTGAGCCGAAGCGTAGAGGTGTAAGAGGGGCCATTAGATATTAACACCCTCCTCTTCTGCATTGAATACTGTTACTCTAATCTTATCAGCTAATGCGCTGTTGAATTAAGTAACCCTGTAGCGTTTATGGCGCCTGACTATAAACATGAACTAAAGCTCCCCTTTGGGAGCAAGAAAAAGGTTTGTGGTATCGGTGAGAGGAGGATTTACATCTTCATCTTTGTTTTTCCCCACAGGACATGATATTTCAGTTAAAGCTTTTAACATTGATCTAAAACTAATGTATATGATGTATAATTTAGTTTGACAGGCCACTTATCCAATCAGCTTCATGGATCTTTTGTGTTGCTGCTACGTTTTATTTTATTTTGTCACTTTTCTTTATTGATCTCTGCTGGGAAAGTCATTATTCTGCTCGCCTGCCTCCATGGGAGGTCAGAGGTCAAAATTAACCACACTGTGTTGGCTGTGCATTTGTTAGAGACTGCCATACTCAATAAGAGTCAATTAGCATAGACGGTCACTGACAGCAGGACCTAAGGTATTGACTAACGCCTGAATCTGTGCAACTTTACGACAGCGCTCATTAATTTACTTGTATTTATTTATGACGGTGGACATTGCTGAAATTAAAACAAAGTAATTGCTGCTCCGCACATCGGCTCTCGAGCCAGTGGCTATTATGCAGATCAGTCCCTGATTGGTCATCAAAAGCTATGAAGTTAAATCAAGATCAAACAACTACCTGCTTAAAACGACATAAAAATAAGAATACGCGTTGAGATTCTATGGTAACTTTAACTAATAATACACATTTAACACCAAAATAACACCAGATAATTTGTGTTTCTTCTGAAATGGCAGTAGAAATTATCGCTACAATTTGTTTTTAAATCTTTATGTTCTAAATTTAAAATCTCCGCCTGGACAATTTTTGCTTATTTTAACTGCACGCAGTTCTTTCAATATATTTTCCCATTTATCCATAACAACTGGAACTTCTGCTGAAAGCTGAAATTCTGCTGCTAAACCATAAATATTTTTTTGATGCAGAGTTTCTCATCTTCTCCATATTATTTGGTTGGTTTTATCTGACATTCTACCCTTATGTTCTGTATTTTCTCTATTTCTGAGCTGCAGTGTAATAGTTTTTGTCGCTTGTATTGTCACCTGTTTGGAAACAGTTCTTTAAAACTTCATACTAAAGAACTGTAGAACATCATCTATAAAGTATTTTGCAGGCTTTTGCTTGCAAATACAGGTTTTACTTGTACTTCAACCAGAAACGTACTAATTTGACTGAAATGTGAATATCCTATTTGACTGAAGCAAACCGTACTGTTACATTAGGATCCAAATTGTGTACAGCCTAAACTAATGTGCAAACAGTGGAGCAAAATAATTAATAATCACAGCCTGATTGTTCTCAAATGTAGTAAAAAACTGGATTTATGACAACATTGTTGGTCTTTGTAAGGAATAGTTGCAGTTTTAAATTGAATCGATGTCAGTTGCAGTTCAGTTTTAGTTCTGCAAGTAATAAATGTTTTGCTGAGCCCTCGCACTGAGAAGGCTGTTTGTCCCACAGACGTTTGCTGTCGGTGCTGCTTGTGACCTTGTTTCACAGCGATTTAAAAAGGAGGAAAATCACTGAATGCATGAAGGTATTTGCAGCATGAAATAGGAGATGGTCTCTGATTTAGCTGAAGGTTTGCAAGTTTTGCAAATCTGCTTAGCGTCTCGAGATCCTTCTCAAACTTTAGAGAGTTTAAAAGAGAAAATTGACATTTTTTAATTGTTATATGAAACATGAGTTTTCAAACTTGCAGGGAAAAGTTGCAGATTAAATCTGCGGTTACTAAGATCAAACAGAACACGGCAGGAAGTAATAATGTTGCATCCTTTAAAAGCGGACCAAGACTTCTCCACTAGTTTTTTGGGAATCTACTTTCAACAAAATGACTCATTGGATTAAAATAATGACATTCTTTTCTGTCACTGAGCAAAGGGACACTTTATATAGAATATGATCAAAATGGATGGAATAAACCTGTTGATAAAACTGCTTGTTTTTACAAAAAAAGATTTACATATGTGTATATAAACATATATATGAAAGCAAAACCAATATAATGTAATTAATGTAATTAAGTTATTGTAATATAACATTTGATATCTCACAAAAAGAAATCTTATGAAAAAAGATTAATCGTTGTCCCTGCAGCTGCTAATCTGTGCATGCTCGTTGCTATAACCTTCACTCTGGTTCAGATGAAAGGATGGCATCATTGTTTTGTCAAAGCATTTTGCGACTGTAGTTTTCAAGCATTTTCCTGTTTTCACTGCTAACCACTGCAGTTATCATCATTGTTTCCTCGTAGATATTACCTCTGACTGCACTTCTGCAAATCAGAAATATCGCTGATCATTTTTCCTCCTGCTCCCTCTCAGCTGGTCCTGGCAGAGAGCGCTCACTCTGATGGAGGGTCTCAGTGCACGGAGAGCCACCCAGAGCTTCCCCCTCCCCTCGAGAGAACAGGGGGCATCGGAGACTCGCGACCCCCCTCCTTCCAGTAAGTAGGCTGTCTGCCGCATGTCATGCGTGCATGCAGGCGTGTTGGCAGATGTTTCTATGCGCCACCCGGACTGTTTCTCCTGCAGCCGGTCCATATGTGCTAATTAAAAGTCATCATCGTCGTCATCGACTCGTATGGGAAGTGTAGGTGGCCGCTCACAGTGATGTGTGGTTATATAGCATGAAGAAGTGTCCTGAAGTGTTGGAGAAGGCATGGATGTGAGAATTTCTCCCACCCACGCAGCCATGAAGCGGCGAGTCGCCCCAGCCATCTATGTAAACATGATGCGCTCGCCGTCAGGGCTGCTGATGCTTGAAATAGCCTCTGCAGCGTAAACATCTTCAGGCAAATGCTTGCTCTCAGTGAGACCCATTGTGTTCAGTCAGTAAGAGCATTCATCCGTTGCACGGCTAATAAAGACGCACAGGCCCCCAAAAACACATCAAGGGTCAGAAATAGAGCCGGGCCATGGCCACCTGGGCCCAGACTTTAACTTTAACCTGGCTGATTATAAAATATCACATCGGTCACCAAGTGGCTGCTAAATTTAGCTGGCGGGGCAGCAGAGGTCGTTACAACGCTGCAGCAATAAGACTGAGGCTCTATATTGAGAACATGCAATCTGTCATGTCTCAGTCTGTCTCTTTATCCACTGTTTGACATCTCAGCTCGCTTTTGCCCTCTATGGACCGCTCCCCACAGCCTGGCTGTCAGCCTGGCTGATGATTTTATTGTTCCCAGCCAGATTTCACTGCTGCCACCTTGTGGCGCTAATGGTAATGCAGTCTCCTTTCCCTCCACCCCTCTTCCTCCTGCTCTCGCTCTTTCTCTTTCTCTCTTTACCGGCAGAGCCTTCTCTCAAAAGCAGCGTTACCTTTGCTTATCCAGCCTTTTCTACCTCTCTTGAATATTATTACCACTCCATTACTTCTTTGTCTTTTATTCATGCATTTCACGTGTTTCTCTGCATGAATAGCTTTATTTGAAAAATAGGTGTTTGGAGCTGAGAAAGGGACACACAACCGATGTGGCTGTGCTTGCTAATCCGGATTAAAGCACGCATCTCTATTTCCCAAGAGAGGGGCAGCGACGACTGGCAGCGGTGGGGGGAGAACGAAAGGGGGCGTATATTGAAAGAGGGGCAGCGTTTGTTCACCGCTGTATCTGAGATAATCTCCCCCCGGATCAGCGGCCATCAACACCTCTCGCTGCCGTCTAATCTGCAGCGAGTACGTATTTGCATGCGTGCGCTGACCTGCGCCAGGTGCACCCATTAGTTCTTTGCAGCAGAAGCGTGCGTGCACGCCCCATTGAGCTCTTCATCCCGCTGAGTGAACACGGCATACGCAGAGTCCTGTCGGCTCTGTTATGTTTAATTTGCATGGATTATCCACACACGCCGCCGCTGAGCTATGAGAGGTTATTGTTTTTAAACAAGGCTGGGTGATGTTGGAAAAGGAGAGATGTCATTTGAGGTTGTTTTCACACACGATAGTCTGGTAGACTCAGTTCATTGGGTAGCAAAATTGCAACATTTATGACATTTTCCGCTTTTACACTGCAGTGGGTCAAACTAGCTTGTTCTCCACAAGAACCTCCTCAAACAAACCGGATTTTCTAGATAAACAACTAGAGTACAATTAAAGAAAATTGAATATGGCACCCAGGGTGCAGATGCACACAGTCCACCTGTGATTGTTCATGCAGGTGTTTCTCACCTGCCTGAGTGTGTGTGACAGACAGTTGAGTTCTCACCATCTTCAGGTTTCCAAGGAGCCCAGTGGCGGTTGAGTCCCCTAACCCCCGGTGCCGGAGGCCGCCATGTTTCCAGCCCACTGACTGAATAACAATCCACTCTCCTCCCAGAGCTGAAGCACACAGGCCGGCCCGTTGCTTTGCCCACACCTGATCCACCACTTCTCACTTTTTCAGATCTGTCACTCTTCCCCATCCGTCTCTCCGCAAATCACGCTTCAGGCACCATCTGGGCTTTTCAATAGGTCTCATTAATACCAGTATTGTCCGGAACGGCTCCCTCTCAGGCTATCTGGTCATTAATGACACTTAGTGCAAAATACATCACATACCGCAGAACAATGCAGCTGCTATTTTAGCCCCAGAGGGAGTGAATTTGAAACAGAGTGGCGATACGAGCAGCATATTCCCCTGCGGCCGAATGGCACAGGAACCGATATTGTAGCAGACAGAAGGATGCAGTAGCTGGAGGTTTTTTTTCAGGAGTGCCTGGTCGACTGGAGAGTTACTTAAAAACGCATCGTGTGGCAGCGTCGTTTGAAAAATAAAACAAACAAAACCGAAGTATCAACGGTGTGTGTTGCAGTGCCAACGCAGTGAGCAGCCGTGACGGCCTGGACACGGAGACGGGGACGGAGTCTCTGCTGAGCCACCGCAGGGAGCGAGAGAGAGAGCGCGCACGCAGGAGAGCGAGAGAGACTGAGCGTGAGTATTATCGGAAAAAAAAGTCTCATTATCTTGTCGATTTTTTGGTGTCATTACATTTCAGTTATTTCCGACTGTAATTTGTAAACCAGGTGTTATAACCTCAATTCTGGAATTGAGCCAATCTGAGCTACAAACATAGTTTGTTGATGAAGATGTACACTTTTCCTTCTTTTAGGACATTTTTTCCACAGAACCCCATTGAAAACCTTCTGGGTTTTCCACCAAATATTGATTCCTGAACTCTGCCTGAGTGGATATGAACTTGTTTGTTTGGCATTATTTGAGGTCTGAAATCACTGCATCTTTTTCGTTATTTTGATCATTTTTCATTTTCTGCAAATAAATTTTAAATTTTTGTTTTCAATTTCAGTAGTTCATAGATTAAAAGTTTAATGTTCATTTTACTCATATACCTATAAAAAGTAAAATCAAAGAAACTGATCATTTTAAGTGTCTCTTAGTTTTTCCAGAGCTGTATGACATATTAGTATTACTAACAAAGTTTTTGCATTCGAAATCGTGAACTTAATTTTGAAGTTCACAATTATTAACCTCCATTTACTCAAAAGCAAATCTTAGAAGTCCAATTAAAAAACAAAAAAGACAAAAACTTAGAATCTGTAGGCTTGCCTTCATTTCATACTGGAAGGAAATCTTGCAAGATCTCTTTTATGTTCTGTATCTGCAATGATTTACTGATGCTTTTTCTGCATTTCAATAAAAATGTAAAATTATATTTATTACTGAGTGGAAGCAGGAGTACCTGGAGAAAACCCACACATGCACAGAGAGAACATGCAGGAAGACTGGCTGGGATTTGAACCCAGGACTTTTTTGCTGAAAGCCTGTGGTCTGTAGTAAAGGTTAATAAGAGCTTCACTATATTTGGTTTCAGTAAATTTGATTAAACCAAATCAAAACCAATGAAAGCAGTTTCAGATTTTACATGGGAGCCATGTACCATCTGGTTTCCACTTTACAGCAGCCAACTGTATGTGGTCATAATGTGACCAAGTTCAAGACACAGCGTATCTTTGCAGAAGCCCCTCGGTTCTAGTTATACGACTCGTTCTATAACTGTTTCACACTCTCTGGAGGAAAATAAGAAGCAAATCAGTTCACTGTGGGTTAAGGTTTCTGGAATTTACTGTCTTTCCCAATAATCATCTCCTTTCCTCGTCTCAAGATTCTGATTTCCTCCTGCCAGTCACGCTGCAGTCTGATAGGTGGTTAGGTCTGGTCTTAAAACTGCTTTTTATGAAATATTGGGGGGAAATCTGCAGGAGTTGTTTCTGAAATACAAACAATTCTGACATGGTCAATCTGAAAATGTTTCACCTAAATCTCTCTGAAGAGAGGATTTCGGTGAAACATGATTGCGCTGCTTTCACTCTGCTGTTGCTGTTTACAGCTGAACTGGATTTCGCTCTCCCTCTGTGTGTCTCCCCCCGTCCTCCTCGCAGCGAGCCAGGCTCCCTACATCCTGCGCCGCTGGCTCATTAACCCATACTCATTAATTTATGTGGTGCAATTAGGATGACAGATCAGCATCAGTTTGGGGTTGTAGGAAGGGCTCTCACATGCTGGAATCACATTCAACCATATTATTAATACAACTGCATGTATAAAGCTTCATAAAAGTGATCACACTGCTTGAACCTTTTCATATTTTGCCACATTCTAGCCACAAAGTTGAGTGTTAAAACAGAGTATAAGAAACTGCATTTTAGTCAACTTTATTCTAATTTAGTCTGAATGCATTTAGAAGCCTCCTAATTTATAGAGTTAATCTGTATGTATTTTATTCTCCGTATGACCCACTCGTTCTTTTACAGCCTCAGAGATTTGTCAGAAAATATTAATGAACAAACGACATAAGATGGATCATGGGTTAAAGATGTTTAAAGTTATACAACAACTCTTTGATCCACAGAAAAGCTTATGTTAGCTGACAGAGAAGGAGCCTGAAGTCTGGAGAAGCTCAGGATTGAGATTTAAGTCAGTAAGATAATTATTATTCCTGCATTGTCCAAATCTGGCCCTCATTGAAGAGAAAAACACTCAGACAACAGAAAATATGTGGAATAAAATGCTCTGGTCAGATGAGACCAAAATAAAAAATTTTTGTGCTTCACTATAAACACACCATGCCTGTGGTGAAACATGGCGATGGCAGCATTATGCTGTGGGCCAGATGAAACTGATCAGAGTTGATGGGAAAATGATGGAGCTAAAAATACACAACAATTGAGCAATGCTTCTTCTCTCTCCTTTTTTAATATGGTATTTATTTTCTTTGCTTCTAGTGTCTTACAATTCTTGTGAAATGTTTGTGAGTTTGTAATAAATGGGAAGCCAGGTGTCATTTCCACACTTGAAGTAAGTAATAATAAAAAATCCCAACAATATACAGACAGCCAGTGGTACAATAAAATAGTTTACATCGGTTAGAATGTCCAATTAAAAATCTGTTGTAAGAATTTAACATTTTTAATTATTCTTTAAATTATTCTGCTTTTTATCTGGCTATTTTTATAGAGGGATGGGAAAAAATGTCCATCTATAGATGTGTAAAAATAAAACTTACAGACGTAAGTTTTATTTCAGACTCAGGAGGTGACATCGACAGAAATACATGCCACATTTTTCAGATTTTTTCCCAGCGGTACCAGTATGTGCTATTTTCTGCTGGTCTGCCCCTTAAAGTCCCAGTAGAATCGCGTGAAGTTTGAGCTTCAGCTCGTGTAAATTCCTCTGCAGGACTCTCTCTCTCTCTGCTTTCCCAGAGATTCATCTTCTAATACTCTGCTGGATTTTGTTAGCATCTTGATTTGGCAACAGATTCCTTCTCACTGCTGTTACAAGCAAACTGAACATCTGCTGTTTTGGCTTTGTTTTCGGGTGAGATGTAACCCAGACGAACAAACTGGGCATCTTCCTCCTTCCTCCACTCCAATTTCTGGTGGGTTACAACATCCTGCGCGTCTCTTCGGCGAAACCCAACCCCTCTTCCCATCTTGCAGCCCCTTATTGCCTGTATGTTTGTTAGAGCTAATTAAATGAAACCACCAGAGGGAGCCAAGATGGCCCCTGAGGGTTCACCAGCAGCTCATAAATCTGGCAAGCAGGGCCTGGTGAAATGTAACGCGGCTTGTCTGAGTGTGGAGAGCTGGATGTGAAGACATATGAAGCAGGAAGTGGCAGCGCCCCACCTTGCTGCCTTGCTGCCGGCAGCATCATGATGAGCAGCAGGAATTTCCCCGACACCTTATCCACATGCTTCAGGTGATTCCTCCTTGGTGTGAGAACGCTCGCTGCTGCACGGTGATGAGTTGTTTGTAGCTCCACCAAACTCATCTCCTCATATCTGATAATTAAAAAACAAAACAAAATGAAGCTGTTGGATATTTTACAGATCTCGAGGGGGAAAAGTGTGATGCAGATTTTGTTATTTTTAAGGTCTGAAAATGTATAGGAAGAGGAAATCAGAGTCTGTAAAAATTTATACATTATTTATTAATTTTAGTAAACATTAATGTGGTGCCCTCCCCTCCATTTTGTTTTTCCTGTTTTCCTTCCTTCCCTCCGTCATACCTGTTTCTCTTCTCATTGTTCCTAGGATCCCTCCTTACATATTTTCATTGTTCCTTCCTTCATTCTTACTTTCTTCATCCACATATCCTTCCTAAACTATAATATCTTATATTAAATATAAACACAGATTCACATAAATGTTTGGAAACATTTTTACATCAAAAATGTGAATAAACCAATTTTTGATCCAAATGGCATCATGGAATCTGAAAAAAAAAAACTAATTTCAATGCATTTTTTTCTATTAAAATAGAAAAACGTATTGAGAGTGCTGCTTTTACATTAATTGTAATGATGTTCCCTGCTGTCTGGATTGAGGTCAAAGAAAATACAGCTAAGCCGAAGCACTTTTGCCAGTATTAAAGTATTAACAGAGAGCAGAAAGGAAAAACAGCCTCTGAAATTAAACCGCTCTCTTTTCGTTTTAAAGCAGTTTTTCTTTTAATGATATAAGTGGTGTATAATTATTTAAGCTTAAATAAAGTTGTTTTTACCTGAAGAAAAGGGCTGCAGGTCGCCTGTAATCCCCAAACCAATGTTCTTTGTTGTTGTTTGGTGGAATCCTGTCATCTGATTGGTTGGAGGCAGATTAGTTTGAGGGTCTACAGTATAGCTGTGTGCCATATGAGGAGTTAGTGAGCGAGGGAGGGAAGGAGGAGGAAATACTTTCTCTTCACTCTTTACTCACTTTGTCACTTTGGGATGGACTTTCAGGGGAGGTGAGGTGACGTTAAATAACAGGATTCATTTACTGGAGACATTAGTGTTTCTTTGTGATTGCTTACATACAGTGTTTTTGTCAAAAAATAGCATCATAATGATTATTTAGTTACAATTATTTACTGCTTATCAGTGCATGATGAATTATATCTGTAATTCATTTATTAACGGTTTAGTTGCGTTGACTGTCTTGGAGGTAAAATTCTGCTTGTTCTCCTTGCTGTTTGTGTCTCTGTTGTAGATGAACTGTGAGCAGCCAGCTGGTGGTTGAGGCTTAGAGAGCGGCTGGCATCACAAAGACGCACATTTTCAGCCTGGCTCCGTGAACCTGCACACTTGTTTTTCTTTTCTTTTTTTTTTTCGTCATATTGTGGGGAAAGAAATATGCCTTGGTGAGAATCCTGACCCGTTCATGTGCAGTAGCTCAGCTTTCGTCAGGGCGGAGCGAGCCATGGAAACCCCGGCGTGGCTGGAATGTTTTACTCGCTCCAGGCGAAAACACGGGCGGCCACGCCTTTTTCGCCTCTTGACACCTTTCCGGCAAGTCCGCTGTTACCCCGAGACAGCGCCGCCTCAAAGGCAATGTACGTACGGATCGGGGCGAGAATTTCTCCAAACTTTATAGGAGCTGCACTTCCAGTTTCCACTCTTAAAAACCTCTCCTGTGTATGTTTATGTCGCTCCCTGATTCCTGTTTTCCCTCTCACTCTGATCCAAGCCTACGATGAGCAGCATGACCTCAGATTCTGACTCACAGCGCGTCTTTTGCTCTCTTTCTCTGCAGTCCCTCGCATCAACGGTCACTCTAAATCCGAGCGCACCGCCAGGGACTCGGCCATGGGTTACGACAGCGCCTCGGTAATGAGCAGCGAGCTGGATTCCAGTTCATTTGTTGACAGCGAGGAGGATGAGGATGCCAGCAGGTAACGTGCCACCTCACATCATAAGATGTGCTTCTCAGCCCCTCAAACACTGAAAGACTAACGATGCACGCAAGTCATGGTGGGTCACATATGGTTCTGTTAAGACGGTCAAAATTTCAGATATCAAACAAATGTTACTATCAGATGAAGAAACACTCGATGAATGCTTTTTTAAAAATAATTTAACGAATCACAGGGAAAAGAAAGCCGACCAAACTGACCTGGTCCTGAATGAAAAATAATCGTTCCCTAAAAATAATTAGTTTTATTGCAATAATTGTTTTTACATTAATCAGAGTTGGAGGAGTTTTTCATTCTTCTTTGCAGATTTTTTTTTAAAAATTCAGGTACAGTGAAGAGTTTTAGATCAATTGGATTTAAGTCTAGACTTTGAGTAGGCCACTCTAGTTGAGTTTGGTCATGTGACAGTGATGGCGATGCAGCGCAGGATTGTGGGAAGCAGAGAAACAGTGAAGTCGGTGAATTATATATTTAATATACATTTACATGCTGTGGTGACGTAGGGGTTAAACACAACCCACATAAGGAGGCCTTAGTTCTCGATTCAGCAGTCACAGGTTCGATTCCCAGCCTGGTGACCTTTGCCACTAGAGCCAATAAAACCTTTAAAAAATACATCAATACTGATAATAAAAGCAATATTAATGTTGAATATCAGTACCGGCCCAAATTTTCATATTTGTGTGTCCCTAAAACAAACATCTGTAACAGAATAAGCTTTACTGCTTTATGGATTCAAAGTTCTACAACTGTCTAAGTTTAATCAAATGACATATGATTAATAATTAAATAATTATTGCTATATAATAAACTAGAAACTAAAAATGACAGACTTCTTCTTTTGCTTTGACTTTTGGTCGTTTGTCTTGTTGCTTCCTATGCCTTCTTTAGTATCAGCCGATTTCGACCTGATGCAGCAAAACATCGCTGAGATGACTTAAAAAAATACTTCTTTTTAATAAAAAACAGACATAAATGTACTGTTTTACAATTTTATTGTCTAACTCTGCTTCAGTAAAGCACATTTAAATGCACCAATCGCTGCACAAACATTTAAAAACAACTTTAATTTGTTCAGTCAGTAACAGCCATTGAAAAATAGATAAAGAAAGTGACTAAAGCAATAGTTTGATCACCTTGGTTAAACATTAAACTGCAACCAACATATAATGTGAAAAGCGTAAAATTATACGAAATAGGTCTGCCTTTATTGATCGAGCTCTTGGTCACCAATACCCAAAGATTTCTTTCAATATCAGGACCAATACAGATTTCAATATTCAGTCGGTTTGTCTCTTTACTGATGGATTATTTTTTCTGTGGTTGCCTGCAAACAAAACATTACATTTCTCCACTCAACCTTGACTCTCTCACGTATTTAATTATCAACGTCGATTGAAGTTGGCTCCCAAAAGAAAAACAGCTCAGGGACTGAAGCGGTCTTAGGTCAGCCTGGCCTTTTAATCGGCTACATCTCATTTTCCCTCTCATTCTGTTTCTGAAACACCATCTTCCCTCTTTGTGTTTCAGGCTCAGCAGCTCCACAGAACAAAGTTCTTCTTCGCAGCTCATGCGCAGACACAAGCGGCGCAGACGGAGACACAAAATGGCCAAGATAGACCGGGTACGCACTTCTAAGCCCCGTCACCGCCAGAGCTCAAATGAACACTGACGCCGAGCAGCAGAAAGCGATGAGAGAGCTGATTGATATGGACTCTGTGTCACTTTTTATTTACCTCTTTCTCCCTTTCTAGTCTTCGTCTTTCAGCAGTATCACAGACTCCACCATGAGCCTCAACATCATCACCGTCACACTCAACATGGGTAAATGAGAGTTGCAATTTGCCTTTTTGTTTTTTTCTTTATTTCTTACTCCTCACACCTATTTTTCTTTGCTTTTTGACAGAGAAGTACAACTTCCTGGGCATCAGTATTGTAGGTCAGAGTAACGACCGGGGAGATGGCGGCATTTACATCGGCTCCATCATGAAGGGAGGAGCCGTGGCTGCTGACGGCAGAATAGAACCAGGAGACATGCTCCTGCAGGTACACCTCCACTTTTACAAATCCTTTGTGATGAATTGAAAAATCATGATAAGTGTCTGTCTTCTTTATATACACCAACGACTCTTTAGCTGCCACAGTTAATGCGTCACAGATGAGACGAATAGACATGAATGTGTCTACGCCTGTGGTTTTTAAAGCGTATCGATAACCACATCTTATTCATTTCCGTAGCAAGGCTTTTATGTTGCAGTTTTCCTTTGCGTGGTTGCCGTCTTGTGATCTCTGTACGTCAAGAGTTTTGTTGTTACGCATCGTCTGAAGCACGTGAAGGCTGATTGTATTTTCTGTGATCGCTGCATTTTATGTACGGTTTAGGGTTTTGTATGAATCTGAAGGCCTTCAAGCTCTTTACACACTGTTGTAAGCAAAAACATCCAAGCTTCCTCTCTCACCAAAATGTTCAAAATGATATCCAGGTCCTAAAAAGCTGCACAGTGAAACATGACCTTAATGTTTTGTATGTGAACCAGGTAAATGATGTGAATTTTGAGAACATGAGCAACGATGACGCTGTGAGGATCCTGAGAGAAATCGTTTCTAAGACTGGGTAAGAGCATCAAACTCACTCAGTTACTGTTGGAGAACAGCATCGATTCGTCCAAAACTTTCTATTTGTGCTTTGTAAAAAATATTAAATCCTCCAGTTTTATCAAGAAGTTGGATTTATATTACTACAAAATAATTTTTAAAAGACTGTTGAGGCATGCCGGCTGTCAAATTGTCACATATTTCCCTTACATCTTTAGGTTGCACACATGCAATCCATTTTTACTGTCACCCTCGTCAAGATTTGCTAAAAATAAAACTTCATTTTTGTACAGAAGTCGTTTGATATAATCTTGTCTTTCCTATTTTTAAAATTAGACGACAGAATTACATCTGTGCCAGATCTTATAAATACTGATTAAAGGTTCATTGCTCGACAAAAGAAGTAAAATATAAATATTTTAGAAAAGCTTCAGTTATAGGAATTGCTGTGGGTTTTTTTCTAAATGTTACAACTTACTTTTCCCACAAATGCACTAAAATTAAATATTTTTAAATATTTCAGTCTGAAATTATGCTGCAGCAGTAAAAGATTCCCTTATTTAAATTTTTTTTGGCACATCTCTCACACAGATTTGAATAAATATGAAGGCAGATGTTAGTTTATGACATATCGGGGTTTCCATAGTAATGTATAATGTAATGTATAATATTCATATACAGCAGCATCACCGATCTGTACTGAACTATTTTTCAGCTTATTATTACCTAAAAGTAATTAAATACTATTTAATAAATCTGATAATCTGTTTGTAGAAAGAAACAACAATTTTAATTAGTTACATTTTGATACTTTGTCTTTTATTTTTTAATATGCCTCTCCACTGTTTTTAGTTTATACCTTATATTTGCAGATGTCTGTGTTTTTACCCTTTACTTATTTTTAAATTCTTTCTTTTTAGCCCCATCAGTCTCACTGTCGCCAAATGTTGGGATCCGTCTCCGCGGAGTTACTTCACCATCCCTCGTGGTAAGCTCTGAGATGACGCTCGCAAAAAGTATTCACACCCCTTGAACTTGGTCACATCTCTACCACAAACTTTAGAGTAATTCAATGTGTTTAACAAAAACACAAAGTAATGCGTGACGGAAAAGTTTTCTGTGCATTTGCATGCATCCCCCCTCAACCACAATTACACTTACCAGGCATTTGGACTTCTCTGTTACTAGAAAAGCGCAGCCACAGCATGACAATGCAACTTCCACTTTTCAGCAGAGTCTGCCCATAGTGACATGCAGCGTTATTTTTGTGAAAGTTTGCATGAAACTTCCATTTTCTTCTCAATTAATTGTAGTTACTGCATCTTTACATGGCATGTGGCTTCAACCAGAACTTCCTCTGGCTTCTTTAAGACAGTGGCTTTCTGGTTGCCTCGCTTACATAATCATCCTTTTGTTTGTCGTCAGATTAAACATGGATGATCTTAACAGATGAATGTACTAATTAGGTGACTTTTGATTTTATTTAGAGGTAAGGACCTAAATAAAATCCACAAATTTTTCTTTTACCTCACAATTGCTTTATGTTGGTTTATCATTTAAAATCCCATTTAAATTTCTGGTTGCAATGAAATAAAATTAAACAAGGGTGTAAATATGTTTGCAAGGTAAAGTGTTAAGTTAGTTACCTTAACATTTTTGTTTAATATGCTCAGCGGAGCCAGTGAGACCCATCGACCCTGCAGCCTGGATTTCTCACACCACAGCGCTGACGGGACCTTATCCACATTACGGTATAGACAGCAAGAGTCTTCTTTATGGAAACACTTTGAGTAATAATTCAGATTCTGACAAACATAAACATGTTTTTCCCCGTTCTTTCTCCATCTCAGAATTTGATGACCTGCCTCTGTCGGTTGGTAAAACAGACATGGCAACCATTGTGAAGGTGATGCAGCTGCCTGACTCTGGCCTGGAGATACGCGACAGGATGTGGCTGAAGATCACCATCGCCAATGCCGTCATAGGTGAGATGAGCAGAGCAAGACGTTAGAAGCTCATGCATTCTGTGGTTTTCAAGTCAATTTACTGTAAGTCGCACAGCACTGAACAGAAACTAAAAAAGATATTCAGTACACACAGTACGCTGTGATGGTATCAAATTTACTGATGCTTGCACATTGTAGTCTCTGGGGTCACTTTGTTGTGTCAGCAGCATTTCCAGCGTGTGTGTGGCAGCTGGAGCCACCATGCCTGCGTGTTTCTGTGAGTGTGTGTGTTGCTGCGTTTAGGTGCTGATGTGGTGGACTGGCTTTACTCCAGAGTGGAGGGCTTCAAGGACCGGCGAGATGCAAGGAAGTACGCGAGCAGTCTGCTGAAACATGGCTACCTGAGACACACCGTCAACAAAATCACCTTCTCCGAACAGTGCTACTACACATTTGGGGACCTCTGCCAAAGTATAGATGCTTATTCCTTTCGAATTGATAGAATCTGTTACTTCTTTATGTTTATTTGATCCTTCTCTCCTGCTTTAAGACATGGCGTCACTCAATCTGAATGAGGGATCCAGTGGTGGAGGCTCTGAGCAGGACACGTTGGCGCCGCTACCTCCCACCACCAACCCCTGGCCTCTTGGCGGGCAGCCGTTCCCTTACCCTCCGTTTCCGTCGGCGCCCCCCTGCTTCCCGCCGGGATACTCCGACCCGTGCCACAGTTTCCACAGCGGGAGCGCCGGCAGCCAGCACAGTGAGGGTGAGCAGCGACAACTGCGCAAGACGGGCCCCCTCGATTTTCCGTCAACAAATCATTAATTAATGTAATCTGACTCAAAACTGTCTGTGTCACATGACGTCCGTGTTAGCAAGCGTGTGACTCATGCTTAACGCCAGCCGTTCTGACCTTTGCTTTTGGATTTCCTTCGCCATCGTTCAGTCTGGGTTTTCTAAAACGCGTCTTGTTGTCGTCAAGGTCAGTCATGAGCGCGTTGAGTCACGCAGCGGACAGCTCTGCAGTACTGGGTGTGTACAAAACGCTAAAAGACATCTGATCAGCCGTGTGATCCGGAATCACAAGCAAATCCCATCTGTTTCTCTATGAGTTCTCAGATGATCTTTTGTCTAAATGTGCTGGTGATGCATGATTTTTTTATTTATTTTTATCTTTTTTTTTTAAAGAGCGCAGAGAGCCTGAAGGATTAGGGGGTGTTGGATTAAACTGATCAATTCAGCTAAGCTATCAGTTTGTTTTTCATCAGTGTGAGTGATTCATCTAAGCATGGCCATTTCTTGCTTTCAGCCATTCTTTTCACCGGTCTTTGCAAGAACGGAGAAAACTAACTTAAGAGAAAGAGTGTTTGCTGCTACGCTGCAAAAACACAAAACCCTACCAAATAGTTTTGGTCTAGTTTCTAGAGAAAATATTAGGTACGTTTGAAATAAGGCAAATTTAACTCACAATGAAGTTTTCAGCAAGATATAGGAGCTTATTTTTAAATCAGAAATAGTGTAATATTGATGAGGAAAGTGGCAGATTACGTCACTTCACTAACAAGCCATTATTCCCTTGTTATAAGTGAAATAATCTGCAAGTGGAGCTAATATTATTTCATCAATATTAAGGAATTATTTACTGAAAATAAGCTCCTATGATGTGCTAAACCAGGCACTAGAAACCAGGAGAAAAATACTTGGTAATATTTTGTGGGTTTTTTGCTTTGTGTTTATCCTAGAACATAATTTGTTTAGTCATACGCATGTGTTTGTTTTCATTGGATTATAAGCCATGATTTATTCAGCTGGACAGGGGCAGGGAAGCAGCAGGAAGCGGAGTTAGTTGAAAGGCAGTGGAGCAGGTTTAGGATGGGGACGTCTGGCCGGTGAGGTGTGTGTAATCCTGTTGTTCCCTCTGTTTCTGCTGGGCTACGGTAGACTGAAGGAGGAGGTAGTCCCAGGACACTGGGGGAACCGGTAAGCCTGCTAACCCCCTCTCCTCCTCCTGCTCATCTTCCTCCTGTGCTGCTCACCATCCCGTCTCGCTCTACCTCTGTCCTCTCATCTTTTTCTCCCACACTCAGCATTCTCCACCTATCATACCGCAGCTTTAAGGTTTTCTCCTTCTTCTCTTCTCCCCCCATCCTTTGCCAGCTCCGTGATTTTTTTCTGTGTATCCTCTGTGTGATTCTCCTGACAGTCGATTTCTCCCTCTCTGCACCTTTGGGCATGCGTTTGTTCTGTGTGCTGGGAGGTGCATGATGCAGGATGATCAATCGTGAGGCTTGTGCTGCTAGCGGACAATATTGCACCACTTTACCCAGTACTGTTGGGCTCATTGCAGAAGTTGAAATGTTTTTGTAACGTGTGGTACACCTCCATCAGTGTAAGCAGCACAGCTGCGCTCAAACTGCCTTTTTGAGGTAAATGTGATGATCCATGCAGTAAGATACTGAAACAAGTTGTGCTTTTTCTGATGCTGGTGTGTCACGTTTGTATGCGCAGTGCCTTGCAGACATATTCAAGCCACTTGACCCTTTTCATGGTGCATTGCAACCACAAATATTGTCGGATCTATTGATTTTTTTAAAAATAAATCTTATAAATCGACATAGTAGAGCATTGTGGTGAATGACTGGTTTCAGGTTTTTAGACGTATTTACATCATTTGTTTTTTTTCCTGAAACTGGTTGCAGATTTTTAATTGAATTGTGGGGTACAGACTTTGACTAGGCCATTCAAACACATAAAAATGCTTAGATTACATTATTCTTTTGTAGCTTTGGGTGTGTGTTTTGATTTGTCTCATGTTTTTTTTTTCACCCTGTAGCATGTATTTATCCTGCATCCATCTACCCACTTAATCTGATCCCCATCCGTCTCTCCGCCCCCACAGCATCATGCTGCCACAGCCGAGTTTCACTGTGGGGATGGAGACGTGGATATAGCATTTACTTGTTGGCCAAAACATAAATTTTACATTTAAGAGCCTCAAATGGCTCTTAAATCATTTGTAGGAAAAAAGTGATACTAATGTGCTTAAGTAAAGATATGATTATGATTTTTTGTGGAATAATTTCACTAAACATCTACAAAAGATGACTCCAAAACAACCCTTTATATTTTTTTATGTCTTCTTTATTTTTTAAACAGTTTGTTCTTTCAGAATCAGCTTTGTAGTCCAAGGCTGTGAGTCCAAAGAAAACGTTTGACTTTGATTTTAACCGATCAGTGTTGAAATCAAACACCGATTGATGCTCGGTATCAATATACACATTTTAGAGGAAATAAAGAAATGTTTTATAGCATTTTCTACAAATATAGTGAAAGACAATTTATACATCCACTTCATTACAAAAATTTGTAGTCTGATGATGGTTTTTTCAAACATGTTTTCTATTGTAATCTATCAAAATGAAAGCTCTTGTAACATTTGTCGCCCAAAACAACTTATATTTAGATGCATTAAATTTCAAAATGGCTCTTTGTTTGGAAGAGCTATTCAATTTAGATTGAGTTTTCTGGTTGCAATGTAACAATTTGTTTAAAAAAATGTAAAATTCAAGTGGTATGAATGTTTTTCCAAAGCGCTGCTTTCACTGTGAATGCTTCAGTGTCTTTAGAAACAGCAGCTGCAGGATGATTGTAGTGGATCTTTGAGCTCAAACCTTTGACTTAATCATGTTTGCTCTTGACTGATGACTCTGTCCTATATAGCCTTATAAAATGTCACATCTTAAACAATACGCTGTAATTTATGTCATTTGGTTTAGATGACAAAGTTTCCTCGAAGCTGTTGTTTAATGTGTGACCTTTCACTTTTTTCCTGCAATCAGTTTCTGGTTTTGAGTCAGCTCCACCTGATCTGTTGCAGCTGCCACTCTGTGTGTTTTGGGCTGTTTTCTGCAAATGCTGCAAAAGGCCCGCTTGAAACATCTTTTTTTCTTCTTTTTCTCCTTTTTTTTGTCAACAGGAAGTCGAAGCAGTGGATCGAACCCCAGCGCTGGCAAAGACAGACGCTCCCCGCAGGAGAAGGCTCAGAGGACGACGTGCTGCGAGTCAGAGCCGGGCGTCCGCGGAGCGAGGCGGGGCGACCGCTCCGGCAGCCAGATGAGCCACCACAGCCACGCCAGGTCGAGCCTGAGCCACAGCCACTCGCACAGGAGCCACTCGCTGTCCCAGAGCAACCACCCCTCCTTCGGCTACAGCCAAACCGCCTTCACCCAGGCGGGGCCGGGCTCCTGCGCGCAGAGCGAGCGGAGCCATGCCTCCTCCTACGGCCCCCCAGGCTTGCCTCCCCCTTACTGTCTAGCTCGCTTCGCCCCCAAACCCTCGGTGAGCAGCAGCACGCCTCCCGGAGCACCGCCGGGGAGAGAGCTGGCATCCGTTCCCCCGGAGCTCACCGCCAGCCGCCAGTCGTTCCAGCACGCCATGGGCAACCCCTGTGAGTTCTTTGTGGACATCATGTGACAGGACAGTGCCTTCAAAAACACAGTGAGCACAAAACAATCCTCCCTGAACTCACTTGCGTGTTTTTCTTTTTTCTCCTCAGTCGTTTGAGCACCCTTAAAGCTGCGGTATGTAACTTTTATAAAAAAAATTTTTTTTTTCCTTTTTATTATTTCTTAAAACTGCCACTATTTCATGACAGTATATTATAAGACAGACAAAATAAGAAATATTCAACTTCCTCTAGACAACCAATCACAGCCAGGAGGAGGGTCTTATCGCTGCCAATCCAGCTCATGTTCTCACATTGTCCTCCTTACTATCTGTTATGCTACATCTTCTTACAGATAGCAGAACCGGTCATGAGTATTTAGTTTAATTAGCAAAATCAATATAGAAATAAAAAAATTAAATGTGCCAACAAATCGGCCCAGGTTTCCATTATTTTGGGATTGACTGAATGTGAAGACGATCTCATCTACCTCGACAAACGTCTGGAAACGAACCGCTGAGGCTTGACTGACAGACCCACCAGCTCATGTCTGCACTTTCGCAGATACTAATAGTAACTCTACTGTTACCAACTCACTGGCTTTCTTGCTAAATTTATCAACATTTCAGACCAAAATTAGAATCAGCAGGTCAGGCCTTTTGAAGATCATAACCAGAAAACTAATTGGTGCAGGAACCATATGGGATAATATAAAGTCACCACCTAAATATCATAGAAAAAAAATATAATCGAAGAATGCAAAGACTTATCAGTCGATCATAAAATTAATGAGAATTTTAATAAAATATGTAAAAATGAAAAAAGTTACACAGTTCAGTACAGTTTTAAATAATGTTTAAACTCATAAAGGCCTTTTACAGAATGCTAAGGCTAGTTAGCATGACCACCAATGATAGTGGATAAACAGTTTTCCTTTAACAGTAAGTTTTTTTGACCTTCCTCCTATTTCTGATTGGTTGTTTTTGGCATTTCTTTAAACAGCAATAGTAACAATAGGTGGCAGTAGAGATCTAATATTAGCCTGTCACAACATGGTGACAGTTTTAGTAAATGTATAAAAAACAGATTTATTTTTTTAAAGTTACGCACTGCAGCTTTACGTTCAGAATGTAGATACCACCCGGGCCCCTCAGCGGCCCCTCAGCGGCCCCTCAGCGGCCCCCTCAGCGGCCCCTCTGCAGCCCCTCAGCTTCCCGATGTCCTCAGAAAGGAATAGGGGCTGCGTTAGCACAAAGGAAGGATTCTTCTCGCTCACAAGCACAGGTGCTCCACCTGGACCCCACCAGCCCCCGCGCCCCTTTTTTTATGGACATGTACAGTTTGTGAAACGTTAGTGCTGTTCGGTGTGGTGACGTCTTCAAAGCTGCCACGCAGACATCCTGGGGTAAAACCTCGGACATCGTCTGTCCAGCGAGACCTTTACCTTGCCTGGAACTGGATCTCAATCCCCCAGACCCAGACCCAAAACTCTGGACTAAGTCTGTTTGTGTCCAAGCCTCCACCGTTTCTGGGGCTTCTTCGCCAGCAGCTTGCCTGAGCTCTGACTTGCCAACACGAACCGTGATCTGTGGACCCAACAACCGACTGCCAGTTTGACCAAGGCTGCGTCGTGCATGTCTGAACTGCTTTAAAGAAATTTTATGAATTCATTTTGTTTGAAGTATTAACTAAACTGGAGGGAAGGAGGTTTCCTCTTGTTCTAAAGGATGAATCCGTACACTGGAAGATTTTGTGATGTTATTTATGTGGTCATGTTGCATTGCTGATGTTGTCACAGTTTGTTTCCTCTAAGCTTCCTGACAGACAATCAGACATCACCCTTTGTGAATCAGAGGCTACTTTCCGCTTTCTCTGCTATTTTCTGTCAAACATGCAATAGATGTCAAACGTCTACACACCCCTGTAACTGCAAAAGGTTCTAAATAAGCCATTTTTAGAACCTTTTCCAACTTTATTGTAAAAATATTTCCTCTATTATTCACCTGGAAAACAAATAAATCTGTTAGAAGATGAAATATACAAAAGATAAATGCGGCAGTGACCTGGTTGCATAAATTTCCACAACATTAAATGATTCAGTGTTCTTGAGTTCATATCTGTCATGAATAATAGAGAATTTCATGAACGTCAAATCAATTTCAGCTGTCCCAGAGGGACTTTCCTCACATTTGCATTATTTAGCTAAAGCAGAAGCTTAAGGAGAGAATAACAATAGATCTTAACAATGTTATGATCTTTCTCAGAAGAACAATAAAGATAGCATTATTTTTACATAAATATATATCAGTAGTTAGAGAACTTCATGCAATCTAGCAACAACTTGAATTAAATGACATATGATTGGATGAAACGCTCACAAAATGCAAATCACAATGAAAATCACACCACTCTCCAAACAGGAAATTGTAAAAAAAAAAAACCCATTAAGGTGGAAAAAGTTCTAAAATAATTGATCAAATTGTCACATTTTCATCAGGAGTGTGAACGTTTTACATCCACTGCGTCGTTATTCCCATCAGATGAGACGACCTGGACATTTCCAACACTTTAAGCACAGTAGCATCAGCAGAAATGTGAGCACAACTATCCAGCTGCCAAACCAGGTTGTTGTTGCAGCGTCGTAAAAAGTCGGCGAGAGAAGCCGGCGCCTCGCATCATGTGGTGGATCGTTCTTTCTTATGTCAGAGTTGTTTTATGTTGCCAATTTTCTGTTTGTTTGTTTGTTATTGCCATCAGTTTCTTTTCATTTCACATGAGTTTAAAGTGACTTCAAGGGGAATCCTGGCCAACAGAATGACTCTTGCAAAACAACGGCAAACCCCTGTTGCATCTACTTAAAGAATATCTACAACAGGGAAATAACACTCTAGTTTTATGTGCACTTTTTCATTTTGTCTCTCCCTTTAAGTATGAAACACTGTTTGCAATCAAAGCTTTCTCTTACATTTTGTTTCGTTACAAAAGAAGAATAAAATGTACATAGAAATTTATTATATATAAGAATTAAAAATATATCTGTTCAACTTTTTGTCTTTATTGTCAGACATTGAAACGACTTTTGTTAATCTTGCACATGATAAATTACTGGAATCATGCAAACAAACACTGTTTTGCCAGATGAAGAAAGAAACACATTTCCTCAACAAAATTACATTATTATTTTTATTCAATATTTGAATGAGTTTAGGGTGATTTCAAAACCCTGATTGGTAGTTCTATGTTTTTAGAAATCATCAGTGTTTTGTTTAATGAAGCTTTTCAGTAATTAAGTGAAGCATTCCTTCTCTGCTTCTGTGTATCTGAGCTGGAGGAGGAAACCTCGGCGATCCGTCGCTCTGACACTTTCCAGCTCATTCTGGAGCGAGAAACGGAAAGAGCAAAGAAAACCTCTATTCCAAACTCCTCCCTTAACAGCTCTTAAATACTATTAGCTTTGTCACACTTAGTGGAACCCAATGCCAGCAGTTTGGTGTTCAAGATCTAGATCAACTTCAGCTGTTAGTGAGGTTAAAAACAACCAAATCGGAGAGATTTGCTCTTTCTTTACCACAAAGCTGTAGGTGAGGCATCAATCTGTATTTTACACTGGGGAGGAAAGTTGACAGGTGTAAGGTAGTGATCTCTAGACAATCAGGTCAGAACATGTCCTAAAGAGCAGCTCTATTTATATATTAAAAAAGAAAAAAATCTGGTTCAAGGAAGGTGCTGTCTTAAGGTCACGGACACGTGTGATCCTATCCAAAAGATGCCTGACCTCTAGCTCAGGCTGCATCAAGACTGAGGAACCACAAGATGGAGACACTTTACATCAATTGTGAAACAAAGGTTTAATTTCTCACAAGAAAATGCATTTTGAACTTTGAAGAGGACATGTTTCTCTTTTAGCAACGATGCGCTATTGGGAAGAAAACGGTGGCAAAAGTACCAAAACAATAAATGAATAAAAAATAAAAACGCGCCACACCAAACGAGTCATGATCTCATCTGCGTCGACACTTCACGCTAACACCCCGCTGCGTGGAAACTCCGAGCTGCGTGTACTTTCCCAGTGGGTAGACGTTACTTTCACAATGTTCAGACACCAAATGAGAGACCACCGCTTCACTTGGCCCACCGACCGCACGCGCGCGCACTTTTCCACAGACACCAACAGGGAGACAGAGAGAGAGAGCGCGTGAAAGAAAGAAACGCTCCCACTCACGAGAGGGGCGTCAGGGGTCAGGAAGGAAGTGACGCGTTTTCGATATTTTATCACTCAGCCTGCAGAGACAGATGAAATATCAGAAGCGACCTATTTTTAAACGACTTTAGAGTGAAAATAAAACATAAGTTGTCTTTTTCACCGAGCCTACATGTCGGCCTACATGCAGCCATTTACCAGCAGGATGAATGTTGCTGCTGCTGCTTACTGAACGATTTAGGAGTATTTCCCAAGTCAGTATGTTAATGGAGGGGGGAGTTTACAGCGGGCAGGGGTCAAGGGGGCGTTTAGGGGTAAGAGTGGGAAGTGTTTCTGAGACGAGTGTCAGAGGAGGTGTTCACTTTTGACATCACATTTGTGCAATCTGTACATAGAAGGAGGTGAATCAAAACTTACGCGTTTCTTTTGAAGGTCAAAGATCATCTTTCATATGTCAGGGGAGTATGATGAGACAATAACACAGAGGTGATTTGGCATTGTTGGAGTTTATCACCTGATTGTGAGAGCTGGGATGAGACTGCATGTCATCTTCATAAATTTCCCCAAGTTAAAACACTTACTGGAAGGAAACAGAGGAAATAGATGACAGTTAGTTAGATTTATTTTCATTTTAAGACAAAAGATACTCACATTAGGCTTTTATTTTCAGTTTTGCTATCTCAAAACAATGATTTAGAAGAGAATCCTGGAATTTTTTTAGAACTCAGTGTCACATGGTGTGAAGAGATCATAAGTTGTATTGCACATCACACATCAGGATGCTTGCTTGACTCAATACAATGAAAATATGAAAAGACATGTATGATATCATCTTCACCCATTATTTTTTGTGGACTCAAATGAAAATCGGTGAACTCTGGAAACTGCACACTGTGCAGGACTGGTATCCAACCACCAGCGTTCCTGATCAGGTCTGGTTTGTAGTGCAAGTCTTTCCTGACACCATTTCTTGTTGAAGGGAGAATAATGAAGGCTAATCCGTCTAATCTGGAACAAAAAGATCCAGATCCAGGGATAAAACCGTTGACATGGCGAGAGAAAAAGTAACGCAAATGATGATGACGATGGTGATAATTTTTCCTTTCTATAAATTCGTCACATATGAATCTATAAATCTAGAAAAGTGTAATAAACATAAAATATGTTTTATATTAGTTGTGCAAACTACTGAAGACAGGTTTGTTATGAATTATGACTGAAAGTGTTTGAGGGAAAGTTTTTTCCATGCAGGAGCATCAAAAACTGTCACTCGTGTTTGCGGTTCTTCTTCCTGCTGAAAGACCCCGCCAGGATGGGAAATTCAAAAATCAGAGAAATCTTTGAGCTCCTTTTCCAGATACAACAAGAAATTGAGTGAAATAATATTTGTCTCAAATAGATGGAAACAGAAGAAACTTTAATTGATCCAAATTGTCACAAAAATATTGAGAGTAAAGCATCCAAACATATATGATATCTTTTATATCATCGGAGTAAATGTTGTTGTTTGCTCTGCTGTTCCAGCTGCAACACAGTTCCACATCTTTACATCATTTATTGTGCCTGTCTTTCACTGAAATAAATGTTTTTTCCCCCTCTTTTAAAAATGATAAAGAATTGCAAAAATGTCATTTTAATTTAACTTGTATACAAATGTAGGAGATAAATGAAAAAAGCTCTTAGCTGGAGCCCCGCCCCCAGGGGGCGGTGAGCACAGAGAGGCTTACAAAACAGAGCTGCAGCTGGATACAACTTCATCTCAGTGAAGCTGATCGATTCTGTATTCAGATTAACAAATTAGAAAAAAAGACAAGCATTTATTTCTTGGATTATCTGTGAGGTTTGGGAGCTGACACTTCAGGATGGCCGGGTTCTTCTGGATGCTGGGTCTCGCTCTTCTCGCTCAGGGCTTCCTGTGTATCCTTGGAGACATTGAAGTTGGCTGCAAGAAATGGGTTGCAGACTCACAGATCAAGGGCAACATTAAGTGTGTTGAATGTCATCCTGGTGAGTGGAAAATCAAACATTGAAACAATATTGTGTTAGTTTTATGCATGTTTTAAATGATTGTGTCATTAGAAGGAATGTAACCAGAACAGCACCTTAAAAAAATGCAGTGAACATTTACAATGTTTGACATTTTTGGTAACAAAACAAAAAAGGGCACAAGTTCTTGAATTTGCTTGAATTGTTCTGTAATCTTTAAACAGACAAATGGAAATGGAAAGAAGAAAAAAAAAAGTAGCATTCCTGACTGGGGAGTTCCTCTGTGGTGGCTGCATGTGACCAAATATAGTTTCAGTGGTTTTTCACCTAATCCCACAACAAAGGCTCGGCTGATACGACTGATTAATCCAGTCTGGGATTCACCCTGATGTTTTACGGCTATGATTCACAGTTATCAGAGTTTTGATTTGCTGGGGGAGATAACCGTGTACACGCATGATACAGTGTAAATATTCAGAGCTATTTGAATATTTACACTGATTTGTGATTTTGCATGCTTGGGTTTTTTTCCTGCAGGGAATCGGCTGGCCAAATGGTCTGGTCGAAATCCTCGGGAGCTTTGCACTCCGTGTGAACAGGGAACTTATACGGTTCATTCTTTGGCTTCTCAATGTTCATCATGCATCCAGTGTATTGGTATGTTACGGCGATAAGGAGAAATATACATTTTTATTGTAGCTCCATCTCATTCTAATTTCTCATTTCCATCTTTTGCAGGCGCTCTTGTCCATTTGAAAGACTGCACCCCCAAAAGTAACACACAGTGCGGGTGTAAAGAAGGTCTTCGCTGTGGAAACGCAGAATGTAACTTCTGCGTGGACGAGTGTGGAAAAGGACAGCAGCCTACAAAAAAACGTATGTGCACCTGTAAATATTGGGTTGTGGCCATTGAGCAAACTTGAGCTTAAAATCAGCTTAAAAAACAAACTGTCTTTTACAGGTGACTGTGAGCCTTGTCCTCCAAAACACTTTAATGACCAAATTCACCAGGAGTGTAAACCCTTCACCAGGTGAGTTATCTTTTTTCCATTAAACTTTTTTGTTTGGCAGCTCAAATGCTGATTTAACAAATTAAACTAACTGGGATTCTTTCCCCAAAGGTGTCCAGATCCAACTCATGATGTCGTATTCCATGGAAATGCATCTTCTGACGTCATATGTAAACTTCGTCAACCTGCGACACCTCTACCCGTGACCAATCCAGTGAGACCTGGTAAGAGAGGATCCAGTAGATGCTGTTGAACTTTTATGCTTATTTTCAGTGACAGTAAAATGCATCTTCTTGCTTTGAAGTCGTGAACAAAGAACATCCATGGCCGATGGAGTCATTTGCTGCCATTGGGGCCCTGATGATGTGTCTGATCGTCTTTATCGTCATCGTGTCGGCGCTGATCCATTGCAAAGGCAAAAAGGAAAAGGCACAAAGGACTCCCTCAAAAACACCCATTGTTATTAGTAACCCTTCAGGTAATGATCATTAATTTTTAACCCATTTAAGGAAGTAGTATTAAAACACAGTGTGAGAGTATTAACTCTGTCGTATTTTTATTCCTTGTTGCTTAGATGAGCCAAGGACACTGATTGCTATTGAATGCAGTTTTCATGAAGCCCAGCAGGAGCAGGGAAACAGCACAGAATCGCTCATATCGAAGGACTCGGAGCAGGAATTTGTGTGAACGTAAGCAAAGTGGCATCGACGGCTGAGGGAAATATTTCTATCCTAAACAAGGCGGGATTCTTTGCCAAACTGAGCCAAATGTTTCAAGGACTTTGACCTAAAGAAGGAGCCTCTACCAGTCCCTCTCCTGGCTGTTTACTATTTATCACAAACACAAGAGGAAGGGGAATTCTGAGATGGGGGGAAAAACCAAGTGGACTTTAACTGTGACATTTCTTTTATTCAAATGACAGCAGCCACACTGTTCTTCCCCTACTGGAGGGACAAAGCAGCTTTATTAAGTGTTTTAAAACACTGCACTGTGTAGTGACTGACATTTCAGTCTTAAAGATTCTTCGTAATGTGTAGGTATAGTGACGCTGGTACCTGTTTAAGCTACTATTTCTGTGGAAAAGAGAGTGCTGTATAGTGTTGTTCAGTTTGAAAGTACAGTGTAAGTGGGCGTTCAGTTTTTAGTCATTTGTCATACCGAGCCCACGTACGCCTTCCTGGTGCAAATGTTAGCCTTTACCTTTGTTCCATTGATCAACCCAGTTACCTACGGTGTTTCTTTTAGTTGTTGTCTTTTCTGCTGAGTGTGTTGCATGTATTGTCTGGTTATTAATAGTGCAAGTACGTAAACGAGACCAAGTGACAACAGCGTCGTTTTTGATCAGCTGAACCCACAGATTTACATGCAGGCTATAAAAAGACAAAACCATTTCCATCCCCACTGATTGGCAGTGAATCAAACATTTCCTACTTTAGTTCAGCTCGTGACCAGAAGTAGTTCTATTTAATAAACGGTGAAAATTGTTAAACGCATACACTGAGACTTCACTGCTTTTAATCAAGTTGGGCAAATCCAGTTGATGACGACGTAGCTTTGTCAGCTTCTGATAGGTTGACTCAGAATATTTCACTTGAATGGATGTTTATACCTGTGACTGTGAACCTCAGACTACTGTACTTGCAAAATCAGGTTTTGGAGGAGGTTAATGAAATGAAGTATACTTCTAAATGAATTTTGACCGACTCGGTTACACCTGAAGCTTATGGCAGCAGATCTTTTGACCAAAGAGATGCATCTTAGTGCAATTCTACTAAATATGAGTAAATGTACATAGACGTACTAATTTGTAAAAAAAAAAATGTTATGCATTTCTTAAGGACAGTGTGCTAATATCTGGTTTCAACTGTAAAACTTGTATCTATATTTCAACTCCATTAACGTGGTTAATCGTGGATGTACTAATGCAGCCAGTTGGCTGTAAAAGCTGCAGAACTTAGCATAAAATTTAATGTCAATAAAAACTTCATGGGCTCTCCAGCTGTTGCTTAACTGCTAATCAGAAAAAGTCCAGAAGGGGTTTTCCCATGTTGTCCTTGAGGTTCAGCCAGCAATGAGTCTTCAGACTGGAGGCATTTAGCAAAATCTTAGGATAAGCACAAGTTGACTCATGCCTTTTGCACAACGCAGATGACAAGTAACCTTTAATGTCAGGTCATTCATTAGTCATGGCTTGAGTTCATTTCAGTGTCATATCGAAGAGATAAAAACTTGTTAGCTTTAACTTCAATTATAGATTGAAGTTGAGGCTTCAGGGTCAAGTGGAAAAACCCCACTGCCGTTTTGTTTCCTGTGAAACTGCTGTACTTGAACAAAGTAGGTGGCTGGGGAGATAAGACCAACAGGAAGAGTTGGGTTTTTATTTTCTTATTTGTCGTTTTAAAGCCGTATTTCTGGCTTGAACTGTAGCAGGCGTTATTTCTTAACAAAGTGGAACAAAGAAATATCACGTGTGGGCTTCTGGTGGAAACAAAGTAAGCCCACATCTATTGTAATTTATCACACAAGTGTGTAGACTGAGTCACTATTCTCAGGTGGGCGACGTTGGTCTAACAGACCTCAAAATTCACAAGCGCCGTCCTGAGACGAGCAAACGCATACGCTGACTGTATCACTTTATTTGGTCTGTCATCTGCTGCCTGAGGCGAATGACGAACTCCTGAAGATCATTTCCACCGTTCAGAAAATGGATTCAATCTGTGTTGTATTTAAAGTTCTGCATTGTACTTTTATCACATTTTTCAAACGCCAAATAAATGATATATATATTTTTTTATTTGTTGTGCTTTTGTACAGAACAGCTGGAAATAAAAACAGACTAATCTCCAGCAAAGAAGTGGCCACATATATATATAAGGACAAAACAGGAGGAAGTAAAGCATAAATAATTCATTTCAGGTAAACAACAGGAACAAACAAAAAAAATCTAAAGTTGTAAATCATTAGAAAAGATTATTAGTGTTTGGTAGGAGGAAATTTCCCACATAAAGCGACCAGAGTGAGTTCTGACAGGTTCTTTGGTGTCACATTTCACCAAATATAAAAGTGAAGCAGAAAGGTCAACAGGAGTGCAGGAGGTTTTAATGTTGGACCCGGGAGTTTAGCTCATCCTGTTAAAGACTGTTTTAGTTTTGTAAAAGCATCTTTAGGCCTTAAATTTTCTACATTCCTCATGTTACAACCACAAACATTAGAAGACGGGGGATTTTATGTGAAAGTAGCAACTCTGTCATTTGTTTCTTTGTATCTGGTAATGTGAAGTAAAGGGTTGACTTTACAAATCTGAAAAGTGTGGCATTTGTGCAACTGCAATAAGCGGTTGTTCGTTTGTAAGCATAGACATTAAATAATGTAGAATTTACTTGTAAGGACTGTTTAAAACAGACAACTCTGTTTATCTGTCATGAAATGCAAATAAAATACACCGCTTTGTGGTTTAAACGTGACAAAATGTAAAAAAGAAAAAACTTAGAGAGGTATGAATACTTCTTTCAGCATTGAATTAAAAAGAAAAACTAATGTTGATCAGTTTTCATTCTCAGGTTAGTTCATTTGATTGTCAATGTACAGCTGTAAACAATAACACCTGAAAACAAACACAAAGTTAGCACACATGCAAGTGCAGCTGATTGAAAACAAGTCATCAACATCATGATGTTTTGGCAATCGGAGTAATCGGTTTGTGGTTAAGCAAAACTGAAGGGTGTTGTTTGGAGCTTTTATCCAAATCCCCGCAAGGAAACTTCAACTGAATTATATCTGAGCTAATTACCGTCAGGCGCTCTGACTTCGGCTCACATAAAAGCCGGAACGGCTGAGTGGTCCAAACGTTTGGCTACTTATAAAAAAAGCAAACACTAATGCTATTATTGTTAAATTAAACACTAAATATACACATTTTGAAAAGTACTTCAACAAATTAAACATTTCCCTTTTGGTTCTAGTGTCCAAAAATGTGACAATAATGCATCCTGGCTTTACTAATCTAAAGTGCTTGTCTTTGTTTTTCTTTCAGTTTTTGATGACAAAACAATAAACAACGAGAACCCTTTGTTAGAATAAAATGATCTTATAAAAAACCCATTTCCCATTAGCACATTGTGGTTAAATTTATTGTTGCTTGCATCCTTCTCTTTTCTCTTTGGGTTTACTCCGTCCAGGTTTATCCACCTGTCGTTTTGTCGGCGGTATGAACGTCGGCTCTTCAAGGTCCTGCAAGCTGGATTGGGCTGTGGGAAGCGCCTCACTGGTTTGACCTGAAATTCAAGGACGACATGAATGTAAAGTTATTGTTTCAACTGTGTAAATGAGGGTTAGGGTGTAACTGAGACTCATTTATCCTGTTTGTTACCAGTTTGTTCTGCTTGGAAGCTCTCTGGGACGTGCACTCGCCCCTGGAAGGTCGGGTCCAGCTCCTCTGCTATGTTTCTCATCTGCTGGGCTTTTCTGCAACAGCAGCATCTGTCAGTTTGTTAAATGCATAACACAGAATTGATGCTTTAATAATGAAGATACATTGATTTCTTACGGTATGGTGTGAACGGGGCTGGGTGGCTGGTTCTCTGGTGAGCAGTCTTCAGTCGGAGAGGGGAGACCCTCCGAGTCGAGTCTTTCTCGATACACCTAAAAAAGAAGACAAAGTCTCTATTGATCCGTTTATTTATAAAACTAATTAAACTTTTATTTCCTGGAGCACAGAGCACGTGTACCTGTCTTTCTCGTGCGGCTCGCCTGTCGTAGTGGTTCATCATCGCTCTGTGTTCATGCCAAGATCCTGGTCCTTCCAGTTCACGAGATCTTTGCTTTGCCTTAATTTCCTGCTTCTGCATAAAACGTGCAATTTCCTGCAACAAAACAAAACGAAACAAAAATTAAGGTAGGATATTTTACAATGACTGAAAGAATATTGTTATAAACAAAACAGGAATTCACCATCGTACCTCATCTTGTGCAACCTGAGCCACCCTGAAGTCCCCTTCTGGATAGGAATTGCGTAAAGATGTCTGTAAAGAAAGTAAAGAAGATTTTTTTTTTCATTTTCCTCCTGTAACAAAATCTTCACCTTCAGTACCTTGTAAAAGTATTAACACCCCCTAAAATTTGTCCACATTTCTCATGTTACATCCACAAACATCACTGCCTTGTTGGGGTTTTAAGTAGAAGACCAACACAAAGTAAGTGCAGGATTCTAATGGAAGGATTTTGGTACTTGTTTTTCCTTTCAAATAATCTGAAAAGTGTGGCCTGCATTGGTATTTCCCCCATCCTTATTAAATGCAATTATGACTGGTACTCCTTTAAGGGAAGTCTCTAACAGCTTTGCACATCTTGAGACAAATGTTTGCTGGTTTTCTTCACAAAATAAGTCAAGCTTAGTCAGATTTGATGGGATTTGTCTGAAAACAAAGCATCAATGCTTAATTAGATTAAGATCTGGACTTTAATTAGGCCATTCAAAGTGTAGGTTGTAGCTCTGGCTGTACGTTTCAGATCGTTGTCCTGCTAGAGGCTGAATCTCAACTTGTTTTTAGTCCATTCCCTGTCCTTCCCCACAGCAGGATGCTGTCAGCAACATTTCTCTCCATGGTAATCATGTGTTCACTGTCAATCTGCCATTGCTACTGTTTGTCAAAATGCTTAATTTTAAAATCACCCAAACATAAACATCCATCCGCACGTTTCTGTGCCTTCTAGAAGGCTTGTGGTAAACTTTAAGCATAATTTTGTATGGGTTTCTTTCAGCGGTTGCCATTCATCTTTGAAGATAAAATTTATGCAGAGTGTGCTAGAACATTGTAAGGTAATATATAGACTGTGAACCTCGCGAACTTGTCTAGGCTTCACACCCCATATCAGATGTTATTTAGCAGCAGCAGGATGGGAACCAGCCGACCTCCTCAGGTATGAACTCTGTCCTACTCAGGACTTGCTCTGACTTGTTCATGAGTGTCTGATCTCGTGTCTCTCATCAAGCCCATGGCGTAAAATACAGCTGGCAGTGATTTTGTTGTGGGGGAAAAAAAAACTGTTACCAAACACTGTCAGGTGAAATCAATCAAAACTATTTCTCAAAACCACATATCCTTTCCTTTTGGGCTATAAAAATGCTTTTTTTTTTTTGTTTGTCTATATTTCAAAATCCTCACAGTTGTGTTTCTGGTTTTCTGAAGGCATTTTTTTAATCTGTAAAACGTCTTCAATCTCTTACCCTCCTTAGCTGCTTCTCTTCCTCCTCCTGAAGCTTGCGGGCAAGTTCTTCATCTTGTAGGACCTGATGCAAGTCCCCCAGATCCAGGCCTGCCTCACTTGGCTCTGGTTGCAGAGAAGCCCCTAAGGGGGAAAACTCACTGTGATTACAGTAAAATGTATCACAAGACTGATCTAAAAATAAATGCTCAAAGCCCAAGGTTATTTGGAATCACACCAAGAAATGAGAGGATGAAGTTGCAGAAGTCACAAGACTTGATTGGTAAAAATGCAGACATGAAGAGATATAAAGTTTCTAGAATGAAAACAGAAAACAATTCCCACTTCAGACACCAGAGTCACAGGTGAAGCCCACTCCCACAGCAATGATTGAGTAAAGATTAAGAGATGCAAAGAACACATTGGAAGTGTTCCCCTGTGCCGATTTAGAGTTGGCTGCAGGTCGGGGTGTTACCTGCTGCTATGTGCCTTGACCTGTGTCTGGTCGAACCCCTGCTGCTACTGAAGCTTTGGCTACGATGCAGCGCTCGTCTCCTTGGACGCTCTGCTCGTCTCTCCGCCTCCTGCTCCTCATCTGAGCTCAACGTTTCTTCTGTGATCTTGTGCCAATGCCTGCGTTCGCTTGTCACCCTCTTTACTCTGGCATGATTCGCTTTCCTCTCTCTGCTATTGTCAATGTATTTGTGTTCACTCCAACTTGTGCCTCTGTCAGAGATATGAGGCTCTCCACTATTGCGGTCAGAAACCTCTCTGTTATAATTACGCCTGTCTTGGTCTGCTCTGTGATCTCTCCCAAAGCTTTCTCCGCTTGACAATCTCCTCCTCTGCCTGATATCTCCATGGAAACTGTGCCTGGTGGCGGCGGCTCGTTGAAAAGCTCTCTGATGTCGTTGGGAGTCACCGTAGGAGACCTCACTCCCATAAAGCACCTGGCTGTCTCTGCTTTGAGGCCTAATCTGCAGTGGCGCCCCACTGCCACCAACCTTCACAGGCACACCCCTCTCCTGCAGGATGTGGCCGAGCATCTCCCACACCTTCAGGCTGTCGTTCTGCTTCCTGACCGGATCTCTCTGATCATCCTGAAAGCGGACGTGTTTATCGGGGTTCTCCTTGCAGCTCCAGGTTCTTGCCAGGTCTCTGTTTCTGTGTCTGCTTCGGTTGTGTACGCTCACCGATTCGCTGCGGCGACATTGTCTTTCGCAGGCCTCCACTGGTCTACTATCTGCTTCCTGTTCATCGCTGTCATAATCCACATTCGTAGATATTCTCCATTGCACGTTATCGTTTTCGTAATAGTGTTCCTCAAAGTTTTTGCTCCCCTCCTTTCTGCCTGTTAAGTCCTGTGCGAAGCTGCTGCGCATGCACAGACTTCTGTAATTTCTCTCTTGTGGGGATCTTAAAGAAGTCTGTTGTTGACGAGGCGCCGTATTTGCTCTGTCATACAGTCGCTGGGCCCAAAGGGAGATCTGTTCAGTAAAAACAGTATCCGAGTCTTCTGAATCCTCATTCACAGGCTCTCTGATCTCAGGCCTTCCTTGCCTGCTGGTATCTACATGCCCTTGATTTGAC